TCACTGAAAGTCGTGCCCTAACGTCACTGATCAGTTTTGCTGAATCTCATTACACCCCAAATTGACAGGGAGGGGATAAAAGGAAGAGAAGATGGCGAGAAGGGCGGGGGAGGGGCGATTATTTTAAGTATTTGCGTCAAAGGGGAGCGATTAGTAGAGGGAGGCGATTAATCGAGGGACGGCTATTTTTCGAGGAAATACGGTACGCCGGCAGCGCTGATCACATGCTACACTGCTCTGTCTCATATAAGCATAACGTCCATTGAAGTGTGATGCGTGAAACTTCTAGGCCAGATACTGAATTCTGATAAGAGATCTAAGATTACTGTGGAACGGTCGGGTGGGGTTATTCTCTCTTGGCTAAAATCGGCAAATTTATGCATAGTGCATAGGTATCTTTGTGAGGACTGGGTCTAAGCTTAAAGATAGCTCGTCCACAAGGAGCCCAGACTATTAATCTGTTGGTGTGACCTTGTATAATGTTAAACTGATCGCATTTACAACTATTTAGGGACCAGCAAGAGAGGGACCAGTCATTATTTATCAGAAGGATGTTGGACAAAAGATTATGAAATATGGCTGATCCGCCCTTTTAATTTTATTTCACTAAAGAGATCCCCTCAACGTTTTCGCACCCATGTTCTCCTTCCGACGTGTATATTTACTGCTTTTACAGAAAATATCTTCTATGGTGAACTTACAGTAATGAATGTCGTGGCGCAGTCTATTAAAGTGTCTCTTGATCCGTGTACTCTAGTCTGGATCTCGGTATCTGATGTCATATGGCAAGCAGCAATCTAACAACCCCAAGTACTCGAAAACTGCAAATTTTAAACTTTTTAGACTGTCAAATAGCAGTTCACCACGTCCCTATGGGCATGTCATATTTAGCGGTAATTCGGCTATCTGCAAGGGCCAGCTTCTTTTTCTTTTCCCTTTTCCATTTTGATATGTAGTATTTTCTGGTATTTTGCTCGTTTACAGTCCTTGTTTTCTTTGTTTTCTTTTCATTAAATGCCGTACTTGTTCCAGAGGACATTGGACAGCTGTCACGTGGCCATTTCTGACCAATGAAATTCGTCGCTCAAAATGCTCATGGGTTGGTAGACACGAGAACTGAATTCTCAGTAAGACCTTAATTTGGCACAATAGCTCGGTACTCTGCACTCTTAGCTGTGTGCTTGTGCCGTGACTTCAGCTACCTGCTCAACCGGTAAAAAAGTTAAAAATGGCATTCGAACGGCACTCGGTGGCGAGATCATCCATCATCTGACACCGTATCTGATATCTTCTCTCTTTTCGTCACTTCTGAACAATTCATTTCCGTTGCCTGGACTTTTCTGTCAATAGTAAGGACAACGAATTGTCTTTACGTTGTCCAACTTTTTTAAACTGATAGTGGTCAGGCCGCCATATTCCTTATGGAACAGGTTCGAGCTGTATTACCTTCAGCCTTTCATCTTTGTAATTTTCAATGCGTGGCTGTACCCTACTGGTAGTCCTTGAAGGTATGTCAGGGGCACCCAACGAGAAAATAGTCCAAAACCACTTAAACATAGCATTGTTAAACGTATTTTAGTATTTCAGCGGTAGATATAGGCATATTTTTATCCCCTACAAATTTTTCATCGATCTGTTCGAATTTCCTAGCTGAAAGTCTAGCCTGATTCGAAAATTATAGGGATCAAAACTTACCTTTTCGAAAATTTCAGCCAGAAAAAAGGCTCCCGGAAATTCTAGGTGACCTTTTTAGGGTAAAAATCCCTTAAAAATGGGCAATTATACCATTTTTCAGATGTTCGAAAATCCTAGCCTGAGAGGCAGGCAAGCAAGAGATTTTACAACAAATGTTCCGCAAATTCTAGATCTCAAATCGTCTTCCGAACAGATATTTTCTGAAAATTGGCTTTGGGTGCCCCTGGTATGTTAGCTGATTTAACTTTCTTTTCTTCTCAGCCTCCCGTGTTCTAATATCTTTCCTGATGTTGAGTTCATTTAGATGACCTAGGTATTCAATGACTTGATTTCCCTCGACATTGATCCCCCTCAGTTTTGGGTTCTTAATAACGAATGATTTCTCTTCTGTTCTATAAAAAATCTACGGTCAATGCATGGTCTGAAATGGACAACAAACAAGCCAAGCTTTTCAGACATCATACAACACACATTTTTTTTTTTTAAATTGCTGTCTGAAAGGATCTTTATACAGTGTATACAAGTGCGTTACTTCCGCTTGCCTCCAAATTTGGCCCACAGGAAGTCAATAGATGTAACCAATTATGTGACTTGTTCCACTGAGCCCCCGATTGGTTCTTACTTTCACGCAACGCAATGATTTTTGTTGCGGCTCTTTGGCTTTTGCGACGAATGAAAGCTTGTATCGACGAATTACGACCAAATGCAAGTCAAGCAAATTATTTTGAAGGATTCTGGAGGATAACAAGCCAATAAACGCGAAAATCGAGGTAAGAAAATTAAACAGTAAGAATCTTAGCCTGTTCACAGACCCTTCATTTTCTCTTAAACGTCCGCCGAGCGCGGATGATAAAAATTTTAAAAAAGCCGGGAATTAAATGAGCGCTAGCTCAAGGGGGTTAGGGAAAAATATAGCAACGTCTGTATACGGGCCAGGAGAATCTGTGCGTGCAATTTTCGCCGAGCCAGCTAATATCTGATCTGCCACACACATTCGTCAAACGCAATGAATTCCTTCCCTCTTAGTCCGCTTAGCTTTTTGCCTTCAAAGTTTTGGTTATTTTGATAACTACTTTCAACAACGGATTTATGTTTGCTTGTTTTTTCGATGAAAAACCAAAAATAAAGCGTCTTTTTTAAGTAAATAGAAACTCACGTGGTGACTCCGAAGTGGTGAGTTTCATAATGCAAATTAGCCTTAATCTCATTAGCATGATGTGACAGCGTCAGAAAATAAACTTGTAGAAAATTCCTAGTCGCTTTATATTTTCGGACGACTTGCGGGCTGTTTTGCTTAGCTATTGAAGAGAAACTTTTATTACTACAATTTAACACAAAATAGACAATTTTTCTGGCAAAATTAAATTCATTATTAAATTTTTAAATCATCATTATTATTCCAAAAATGTGACTTGTTTCTTTTTGTTGCGGAATATTATGGGTTTCCTGAGACCGAAATATATCTTTTTTTGAAACGGTATTTTTTGCCCTTTCCAATGAGGTATACCAGTAGCTTTATGCGGCACTATAAATAACAGCAGAGACATAATTTTTTAAAAGGTACATGGTCAATTTACCTAAAAATTAGCTGAAGGCAATGGTAGCTCCTGGTGTCTCAGCTCAAAATTTTCATTTTCACCTGTTGGACACTCATAGCTCATTACTTTATCTCACGCTAGGAATAGTCCCCCAGCTAGTGTTGTAGATTATCCTTGACAAGCGCCGAAGGGAGCTGGATAATTAAATATTTTACAAGAAAGCAAGTTATTTTAATTTGTTAAGTTTATGGAAATTTTGTGGTAGGAGTTATTTATTTTGTTTTACTTGTTGATTTATTGATATATTTTTTGTGCGATCTGGCTCAATTTTGGTTGACTGACAGCTAGTGGCCAGTAAACAAAGTTCGCTGAACGCCAACTGCGTTCACCTGGCGTACTTTCTCAGGAGAATGTGACCTGGAAAACCGCTTCAAAATATAACCTTTGCCTCCCGGCATGTTTTCCCTTTGATTTTACCGTGAGCTTTTGGCCGATATATCAAAGGTTCTTTGCAGACTACTGTGTGAGAAAAAGGTCATTGATTTAATTCAAGATAACCTGGATCGGACACCGTCCATGAGAAAGTTCTTTCAGTGTCGGATTTTGTGGTGGCTGGCATCGTCAACGTCAGATTCTCTGGGGGGAGGGAGGGCATTATTTTCTACATCAGATTCCCCGGTGTGGGTGTCGTCAACATCCGATTCCCAGGGTTGGTGTCATCAAAAACAAATTCCCTGGGGTGGGTGTCATCAACATCAGACTCTTTCATAAGGGTGGGTGTTGTTAACATCATATTCCCCGGAGTACGTGTCGTCAATATCAGTTTCTTTCATAAGGGTGGGTGTCATCAACATCAGTGTTGTAAACAACAGATTCCCCATAATGGGTTTGGTCAAAATGAGATTCCCCGGGTTTGGGTGTCATTAACATATCCATGCAGGCATGGGTGTCATCAACATCAGATTCCCAAGAGTGAAAGTCATCAACATCAGAATCCCAGGACTGGGTGTTGTCAACATCAGATTCCCGGAGGGGACCGTCATCAACATCAGATTTCTAGGGGTGGATGTTGTCAACATCAGTGACTGGTTCTAGCACTGCTTCAGTGAATCAGTGTCCCATCAGTTTCAAGTTCATAAACCAACATTTTAAAAAACAATTAAAGTAATCTGGAACAACTAAAGTTTCCATTCAAAATTTAATGCCTCGCTACTCAGTCTTTGTAAATTACCGAAATCAATGTAGAGCTAGTTTGATTGCAAACAGTCTATTGCTCTAAAAATAGGAAACAAATGATTCGTCACAGGAGACCATTTACTCTCCTGTTCGTCTTTTTTTAAAACTCATCTACTTTTTACTTTTCTACTTTTTAAATTGTCTTTGCTACTTATCTTTTGTTACTGAACAACAATCAGGAAAAAGACAAGAGAAAAACTATAAATATACAGGCTACGCAGTTCGCTTTAGGTCCATGTTTCACAGGAACCCTTTGTAAATACCTACACTATGAAACTGAGATTTGTGAAAATCCCATGAAAATCACTTGAAGATACCATGAACATCATTTCATGGCCAATGAATCTTGCAAAATAATTTTTCATGACCTCATCTGTGGCCTTTAAATTTTCGTGGAAAAAAAAGTGAAAGGTGTTTCATGGCCCATGAATTAAATTGGACTACTTTCATGGGTCATGAATTTCCAATGAAACACCACATTATGGAAACATAGAACCTCATCCTTAGACTACCTTAGACTATTTAAACGCTCTTGTGTACAAAACAGTTTAACTCATAATTGATTGTCTCTTTAGCTTTTAATTCCTTGGACAAGCTACCGAAGCGGTACAGTTTTATGCGATCAAGCCAATTTTTGCATTTAATTTTTTTGCATTTTTCTAAAAGGAAAAGAAACATAAAAAACAACTGAAAAAAAAAAAATAAAATAATAAACACTAAACTATGACAATTTACCGCGGGAATGCTTGCCCCGCATTGTTTCATTCAGAAACAAAATGGTATACAATGAAATACTGGTTTATTGTTTGAAAATATGTATTTCTATTGCACGTACTCAATAAAAACGAAAATATTATCAATGCTGGTACTGGGTGCTTTCTGAAAATCGCAAAAATCAGTTCCCGCAAAACACAAGAAATCGCTAATCTGCAAAAATAAACTCCCGCAAAAATTTCGTGCTTCACGGTAATCCCCATGATGATACAAAAGTCAAGTCAACTCACAGCGTTACAACTACGACAAGTTAACATCTGCATATTCTATAACTTTTTTTCTTGGTAGTTAACTTTTGGAAAATTGAAGGCTTTCAGCATAAACGTAATTTTTCCCTCACTAACTAAGTATCCTTGTTTTTATTTGTTCGTGTCTGTTTTTTGTAGTGGATTATCAAAGATCTGATCAAAATTGAGTTTGATCACATTTCTATTTGGTTTATGATTGCCTGCCTCTTTTGAGAGTGACAACAGAGAAGCCTCTAATTTTCTAATCCTTTTTCTGGTACTTCTGGAATTTTGTCACAAAGCTCTGACATTTGCAAGTCTACTACTTATTCTATATGAGATAAGTTTCAGATCTTACAGAACTGACTATTCTTTCGTTACATTCTTTGGCTGTTGGGCGTTCATCTGGATTCCCATCCCAACACTGTTTCATCAGCTGTTCCCAGAAGGATGGAGGCGTCTTGCAACCCTGCCTGTCAACTGGACGGTTACCCTCATCCACCCACTTAAAGAAATCTTGAAATGTTTTTCCCGGAGCGTCAGCAAAGGCCTGCTGTGCGTACCACATCTCCCACATTATCAGCCCCAGGCTGTAGATGTCTGCCTTGGAGTGGTAGACTCGGGAATGACGCACTTCCGGTGCCATATAAACAGGTGTTCCTGCAAGAGTGCCCGTGATGTCTACTTCTGCTTTGGCCAGGCCCACGTCAGCAATCTTTACTGTGTTTTCTTCAGACAACTTTAATGAGACAATATATTATGTTATAACAAGCGCGTAATAAGTACGTAATTGTATTAGGAGTCGAACCTATGACAGTCTGGTTACTAATCCAGACACTCTACCATTGAGCTACAGGACACTAGTTGGAGCCAAGGCCATAAGTAGGTATGTAAATGTATATTTTCTAAGAACTTCCTTGCGTATAGATATGTTTGGATATGTTTTTGTAATGTTTTTTTAAGTAATTTGGTAAAGTTTTGTAGCGTTTTTGTTTTGTATTCACTATTTAAGTGTGAAAAAAATTAATTAATTAAAAGCAATAAATTACAAAACAAATAATAACTTCCGTGTTGCATGGCAGCGGGCTGGTCAATAGATTCCCGTTTTTTTTTTTTTTTTGGAGAACAGTAAACTGTAGGATTTACTGGTCTCTTTTCCTCGAAAATGTCCCTTAACTTAACCTCCAGGTATCGCCCATCCTCACACTTCACCAAACCTGGTTCCCGAATACTCATTTTAGTGGGAGAGAGGTGTTTAATACGAAACGTACGTTAAATCAGACTCAAACTCACTGAGATTGTTTAACTTTTTCGGGGATTGTCACGTTTTTAAATCATTTTTGGTATTTTTGTGTTTGCTCCAGTCTTTATGGTTTTCTCACTGGGAATGAATGTTCGCGTTCATTTCCATTCAAACAGCTCGTCCCTGTGCGGTTGATTGATCTTATTACGGCTAGCTCACATTCATGCCCCATCTTCTGAGTCGCTTTTTCCCACAATCAACGTTCCGACCAACCCAGTAAAACAAACTCAACCTGCATTTCATTCGCATAAATAAATTAATTGAGATCCATGTCCGTTTTATACTTGCGTTGTTATTTTTTTTTTTTTTCCGGTAACACTTTTTGTGCTAAATCGTGGAAAAACCGAGCAAATCGCAAGAGTCAGATCACCCAAAAATCAAGTGTTACTCCACAGACTAACTTCACAGCCCACTTTTCTAATACCTTGATATCAGCCACCAGTTTATTTGCAGAAGGGGAACATTTCTTTATGCAGTTTTTTAATTTTCTTGTATTTTCTGTTATGTGTAACACCAGCCTTAATCGAACAAATGACATGTTACAACTCGTAAATTGCAGTACTGTAACATTAGTTTTGTTGTTGTTGTGTTTTCTTTGTCTTAACCTCTTTTTTTCCGTTGCACTTTTTTTCTTGTTACCATTGTTGTTTTCAATAAAGTGCAATTAAAAAAAGTAAATTAAAAAAAAAAAAACAGCCCTAGTTGAAATTTGAGACATTAGGATTCTACCTATGTCCGACGTTTTGACGTTACATTTAGGAAGAAGACGTCATCCTAAGATTACCTTGCCCCGCTTCAATTTGCACACACGAACAAACGACATTATATTTACTATCCTGATAAAATATTCTAGCTCCATACCAAGATATTTTCCAGCTTTAGGTCCCTGTGCACCACTTCCATTGCATGAATGAAAGCCAAACCGTCGGTTATCTCTTTTGCGTAACGGCATAAGTCTCCGACGATAGTAGGATTTTCAGATCTACCAGCAGCTGACTTTAGTTCTCTGAAGATGTAGTTCTTTAAGTTACCTTTGCACTTCTCCATGACAAAAATCATTCTCGAGGTGCTCTTAACAAGAGATATGCCATAAAACTGAACGATGTGAGGGTGGTTAAGCACTCTGGTGAACAGAAGAAATATAGATGGAATTATTAATCTCACTGGTTCTTCAACTTTGTTTTCAATAATACATAGGTACGTTTTATTGCCAACCTGCATATATTCTACATAATCTTGTTATTACAAAAAATATATACGGTTAAGGCAAAGGGAAACACAGCAAGCTCTGATGAACTCTTTTAAGGTTCCCCAATGATTTCTTTACATAGTTGTAAAACATAAAGGTGGCATAATGAGTATCACTTTATCACTTTTTCAACTTTGTTAGCCTTTCAAAAACATAGGAATTCATATGCAGTACAAATATGATTTATATCTCAATCTATTCTCTCAACTCATGGATAATAATTCAAAGGAAATCATGCAGGTTATGTTGACGTGATTATATCTGATGAAAAACTTCTTGTTTTTGCAGTCAGCTTGACGTCTCCTACGGAAACGTTTCCTTAGTTGAAAAGTTATATCAACATTCCAAAAGTGTCTCAAAATATACTACTCCACTGGACGTCGTTAAGTTTGTAACCTCTTTTCCCGGTGTTGACGTGATGAAACACTGCCTCTCGTGTTTCATATGTAAATTCTACACGAAGCACAGTACAGAAAGCAATTCTCCACCTCCTGTCACTATTCATGACAGTTGTAATAAGTATTGTAATTAAGCTTCGAAATTTCTATTTCTCTTTTTTCTTTGAAGTGTTGCCAAGTGCCATACCATATAAAGTATATAATATTCGAGGTATTAGAGACGTTTTTACATAATTCGTACCCTCAAAGCAAGCAGTATAGGTCTGAGGTCGATTCCCAGCCAGGCAACACTTGGGGCTTAAAGTAACTGAGGAGAATGCACTGCCTGTGCTCTGTAGTTAGACGTTCTAGTCATCTATAATCAGGGTACGCTTCACAACACACTAATCTGACCCTGTGCGACCTACAAGAACGATTAGGGACGTAAAAAAACAAAACGAAACATTTCAACCTGCCTCAAAATTTTCATCTCCTGCATGATTTCGCTGGCATTATCGGCATTGAGCGCCTCTTTGCACACCTTCAAAGCCACAGTCGTAACCTCTTCCCTTCTTGTCATTGTTCCTTTGTAAACTGCAGCAAATGCTCCACTGCCGAGGTGGGATGACATTTCTTCTTTCCAGTCTAATTCTTCTCGGTCTATTTTGACTACACAAACATCTGTTATGCCAAATAGTGCTAGCTGATCTCTTAGTTGTGATCCCTTAACCAATATTGGTTCGTAGCGATCTTTTGTTTTTTCCTTAGAACGAGTTTCCTCCAACAGCTTACGTGAGAGTTGTTTATATAGTTCTCTGTCCGCCTCTATCAGTGCTGGAAGACATTCTTCAATGTGATCAAGATAGAGCTTAGCATCTCTTAATTTGTCTTGCACAAACTTTCTAAGCTCCTTGTTCTTTCTTCTGGTAGCGAGGAAATTTGTGGACGTTTTTGTCCAAAACTTTTCGACGTCAGGTTCAAAAAGATTTTCCAAAAAGTCCAACAACTCAGAATCGAACACGTCATCGATCGCTTCCGCGATGTAGAAAAGCGCCCCGACGGTAAAAATCATCATCTGCATCAACGCCTTTCGGGGGATGGAAAAGTGAAATCTAAAGGTTTTCTTTTCTGAAATGCCAGCGCCACCATGAACACCGGTGGCATCGCTTTGGAGATTTTGTAGCTCAGATTCAACACCGTCGTAGCAATCCTGAAACTTTTGCATGAGAAAGAGGCGAGCATTTGCAAACACCCGGTTTTCGTCCTCCCATCGCTCTACAATCTCTTGAAACAGGCTAGACAGTACGGTGGTGATTTCCTCTTCCACTTCTTTCCAGGACATCTCTTCATCTAGATCTTGTAACTTGTCCGACGACCGTGATGTAAATTCCTCAATTACTTCTTCTGAAGAGAGGTATTCGCAGAGTTGCTGCACAACACCATTAACTTTTTCGTTGAAAGATCCGTGCAGATCTTTTATCACTTTCCTTTGATCTTTTCCAATTACCTCCAAGCGGTGATTAACCTCCTTCATTTTCTGGTTAATTTCCTCGTTGCTTCTGGAAGCATTTACCACAAACATTTTTGCCTGAACGACAATCCTTGAAAGAAGTGTGTAAAGCCAACTGAAACAAAAAAAGCACGTTTATTTGTTTCTGCTAAGAAGTAATCGCAAAGAAAAAAAACGCACCTTTGAGGAAACGGAAGGGCGCTGTGTTAACCAACTTGGAAAATAAATGAAAGGCATAAGGAAAAACAGCCTTTTAACTTCCTGAGACCCGGCGGAAAAAGTTATTGGCAAAGGCGATATTTCGTGCAGTGATATTACTTAGCACCCTACCCTTTTAAGGTATTTCAAGTTAACTGATTTTAGTGTCAGGCTCCCTCCTACTCTGTTAAGCTACTCCAGAAACTGAAAGGTCGACTCGAATTTTCCATGAATTGTGGATTACTTATTTAATTAACACTGCATATATTATAATTTATTACAAATAAAACGATGCGATGTTTCTCCCTTTTATGCGCTTCGACACCCCCAACACGCACATCAGTTCTAACATCGTAGTTTTCGCCCTGTGTTTAGTCCGGCTGACTTCGTCTGGCCTTGGAAGAATGAACAAGAGGCAGAAATGTATTTTGTTTGCATGTTTGTGGTCGAACATCCCTGGACGATTATTTATCAAGGCCCTTAAACAATTTTGTCTCAGGATTTTCAACACTTTTCTCTCAGGTATTAAGGATGCGATTTCTTAGTTGTCTTAGAAAATATAATCTTGTTGAGACCTTTCTAACAGGCCTACTGTGGGACCTTAAGTCGCCGTAACTTAAAGCGACTTAACGTCCCAAAGTAGGCCGCGACACCTGCAAATTCCACTTTATATCACCGTTAATAGTAAGTCCTAGCAATTTCACAGTTCACGGTTTCTAGGGTCTGCGGACCGTTATTTACGCAGAGAGGGTGAAAAACTGGCTCGTTCCTTGCAAAGCTAATCCTGAGATCTTTGCCTTTCCTTTCATTTAACTGAAATCCGACATTCCTTGCTTGCCTTACGAGATCGTCTACCACTTGCAGAATATTCAGCTGTCTTGTCCTTTACATACCACCCCAGAAATTGTATTATCATCTACATATTTCCACATAGCTGCCCCTCTTGCATTCAGATCATCAATCATTATTAAAGAAAAGAAAAATGGAAAGACTCCGGCATCAGGTTACTCGAATTAGAAAGTTACAACGAGGAGTAAATGTATTTGAAGTCCAGATTAACGCTTACTTCCAATGAAGTTCCAACTTAGCTTCAATGCTCTGTAAGATGACCGACCTCATTCCTTCCATTAAAGAGGAAAAGTCTTTGGAGATAACACCAAGGTTTTGAGCGGTAGTAGCTCTTTTGGTTGACATGTAGATGATTTGTGATTCGGGATCAATGCCGGACCAGGCTCTTTTCAGTTTTTTTACAACATCATTCTTGACCGACTGAACTTCTTGCTCTTGAACTACATCCCACTTGTTGCACACAAACAAAGCGCATTTGGATAACAAATCTCCCTGCTTTTTGTGTATGTCAAGCGATATTCCGCCTTCTTCTTTTCCTTCCTTTGGAACCCCGATTAACACGCTCCTCGCTCTTTTCAGCAGTTTTTCAAGCTGTAAGGCAAACATTATGTGAACATATTTTCGTCTGCCTCTATAGCTGATGGCAAGGTTTTTGTTATTGCATTAAATCTACCTTGTCCTGACAAACATTTGTAGCGAATGCTCATCGGAAAACTACCTCAGTTTGCAGCTCTATGGCGCATTCTCCATGTATTTTGCCATACCAGAAAATTCACTCATTTTTGAACAACAGAGCATCATTAATTTAGTCGGTCAAAAACGGTACTACTATCAAAATAACTACCCAGAAACGAAACGTCTTCCATTTTATATTGCCAGGCCTTAAATCTTGCCGATTATCTATTTCTTGATTGGGCTTTAGCCATTACCGTCTTTAATTGAGGAAATTTTGTACAATCTCAACATATCAACCTAACTGGGTATTCCTAATGCTATTTACGAAACTTGCTCACTCTGAGGCTAGAAAATATATTTGCACTTTCTCACAGAAAAAAAGTCATATAGTTCCAAGTTATAGTTCCAAGTAGAACTAATGAAGAATATTCACCTTCTGAGCGTCAAATTTCACGTGTAGTTTCACGTGACTTTTGATGACCTTTGTTGTAAACAAGCCCCATCCGCTCTCTCCCACATACTGTACTTGTACGAATTGAGAACTAGGAGTCGCAATTTCATGTTCCCGTTTATTTATATATTTTCCATTCCTTTCGCTGTTTGAAACTCGAATAGTTCCGTTGTGGAAATGTCTAAGCAGAAGAATAAGACCGATTTTACTGCCAAGAGCATGGCAGAACTCTGAGAGCTGCAGGAACGAGGAGTGTAAGTGCCAATAGGGGAAATTCCCGCCTCAGCACTGGACCTAAACTTCGAAAGAGATAAAACCGGTGATGTAGGCAAATTTCGGTCGAGACGAGAATGTAAGCACATTGCAAGTGTCATGAATTATAAGTGTGTCTGCATATCATTAGTTTCATCTTTTTCAAGTTTAGATCCACCCGGCAAAACCATTCGGACTTTCAACTGCAGAGAAGATTTCCTCGCACTTGTTGAAACTCCATGTTCCAGAGAATATCTTTTTAGTTCTCTCATCCTCTGCCGTATTCATGGCGGTTAAAGTCACTCCTAGTCTGCTGCTTTCATATTTTGAGCCTCAAACTATCCGAATTTGAAACAGGAAAAGGGAAGAAAAATAAATAAATCAACGTGAACTTGAAATAGCAACTATCTGTCCCTGAGTCTCCCAGGATGGTATGGGACGTACGTGGGTGAGAAAAACAAACGTCATCAAAAGTACGTGAACTACAAGTGAAATCTGACGCTCAAAAGGTAAATTCTACTTACGTGGAATGGAGTGCGGGGGTGTGTGGGAAGCCTCCTCTCCCCTCACCAACTTCTGTACTTAACGCATGCGCACAATCTAGCGAAACTGATCAAGATACTCACTCTGTCTTTTTGAATGCCACCAGCGTTTGAACTGTTAATGACATACATAAAAGCAAAGGCTTCAGGCAGATACTGGATTACCATGTCGTCCATCTCTTCAGATTCTCCGACACCAGGGCTGTCAATGATTACTAAGCCTGCCTATGATTCATAACCAAAATTTGTAAAATATTACAAAATTTGTAAAAAAAAAAAAAGATCTTGATAATTAATCTTCCACAAAGAATTCCTTGAAATGTTCGGTAACACAGCTATCAGAATTTAACTCATTCACCTAAGTAATGAGAGCTCTCGTGAGAAATTTTCTATATATTCCCATAAATACGTAAACAAAGAATTATCACCTAATTTCCTTGATCTACCGCTGGTACTAATATATAGATTTTGCCAAGCCTAACAGCGAAGCTTCCGTTCATAAACACATTTTTATATTAAAAAATTATAAACTTTAAGTCTGTACTAAGATATCCGAAAATCTATTCTTAAATTTAGGAGCCCTCCATTTACCTTTTGAGGGAGTGGGCTGGGTGATTTAAGAAAAAAAAAATTATCCCGCAAACAGACCTAAAATGAAAAAACTTACTCAAAGCTTTATTTCTCGGTAAACAATTTTCTAGAAGCTACATAAGTGTTTACGCATGAATTCTGCTGCCACAATTTTGACCAATCTGAGACTAGACTAGTCCTGGAGCGCGACTAAAGTGTGTCCAAGCTAAAAGCAAACCCTTCAAAGTTCATTTTTCATAGTTTTTGACATAGCAAAAACAAGAAACTTCAAAATTTTTACCGAAGCAACTCTATTGGTTGCCTCTAAACTGATTAAATTCCCCTCCCTTACAGAGTCTCTCTACTCCCTCCCCCTCTGTCTGTACTCACGGTCAGGCGTACGCTGACGTCATAACCAAATTGTTTTCGCATCCATAAGGTTCCTATTGGTATAGCAATGGGGCTACGCTGTCCGTGCTTGGCGCGCACGGAAGCTCTGCTATCAGTCTACCTACAGAGTATTGTGTGACCAAATGAGCTCGATCTACCTCCAAAACGTTGTGCGGCCAAAAGAGCTCGATCTTTTTGACAATTGAGCCTTTTTCGCGGTCAGTCTTGACGTGAATGTATGGGGAGATCTGATCGAGGAAGCTTTGATCAGAAGATCCTGTTGGCTGCTCAAGTAAAATTTTCTTAGTTTGGAGTCCTGTTTCAGGATCCTTGTCTTTAAAATGCACCACCAGCCTGCGTTCCTCTCCAAACTTCAGTTCACATATGGTGGACGTTGTGCTAAGAAGGGAGTAAGGTAGAATCTCCTCTCCGAGAATGAGATTGATCAAGCTGCTTTTACCAGATGACGTTTCACCTGTAAATAAACCAAAACGAAGGGTACATTCCATTGGGAAATCCGTTTATTTCTGGTAATGCCCATTTTACATGGTTCACGCTTTGGGCAAATGGTAAACAAAATTGAAGAATTCTGTTCGGGAATCGCGTTTACCATTCTACAAATCCATCTCATTTTACGGAGAACAGCCGCAGAGGTCTAAAACAGGTACTATGATGAGCTCCGAAGAATGGAACACTATACTAGTAATAGTTGACACTACAGCTGCCCCCGCTCTGTATATAGTATTCTTGCTCCTTGTGTAGCTCTTTGAAAGATACCGATTCATAGTGAAGATGTTCACACATATTCCATACAATAGGTGAGATAAATACAGGAAATAAACGAAAGGTTCCATGCACAGTTTCGGTTCGATTTACCCAGTTTTGATCAAAGCATTCTCAGTTTCGAGAATAGTTTATTCTAAACCATAAGAAGAGGTTTAATTAGAAGTTTAATTTTTCGCTATTTTTATTTCACTTTTTACATTTAGTTCATTTTATTTGCCGGAAAGTAAGCCTCAGAAATTAAAAGGACGTTTGATCAATTCACGCTCGCGCATTCTAGTCTTATTTTAAACTTTATAGCGGAAGGACATCTGTGAGCAGGGAATAAATCAGCACAGAATTTGAAGGTCGGCGAATTGCTGTAATCGTCCATAGTTCTGCTAGTGATAAGCTAGCCGCTGAATCATTCACTCGTCTTGCTTGTTTTTGGCCGAGTCTTATTCCGGTCAAAGAGAGAGAAAGAGTGTCTGGCAAGGTTCAGCTGAAGGTTTTCAATCAAAGATTTGTGAACTCGTGTCTGGCAAACTCACTAAGTGTTAAAATATACACTGTCCTACGCACCTTATAACTTCATCTGCGCTTAACGAGTGTCTTTTGGTCGATAACTTTCATAACAACTGCTCCACAGAATGTCACTGATAACACGTAACGCAAAAGAGTATCGAAGTACCACTGCACAATTAATGTCACAAAATCTACCTATTGTAAGCTTTTTGTGTTTTACGTCATCCTAACCATTTCGTACTAGCGGGCGAAAACAATAGAAACGTCATCATTACCTACCGATTCCTCGCAGGCCCTGTTCAAGCAAATCGAGATTTTTTCTATATTGACTGCACGACTGTATATTTCAACTGTAAGTACTTTCCTTAATACACGCGCGAGTTACTAGAGTGCTTGTGCCTCCTCGGGATTTCGTCTTCTGGGCGAAATCCCTGCGGGGGCAATAACTTCCGTTTTCGACGTTCCGACCTGGAAAACGGGACTGCTATAATTTTCAGCCGTTCAGTTTGTTTTCCAACCGAATTTTGCGGAAACTTTTTTGTAGATGGTTAACAATCTGGATCTCCTTATTGAAATACATGTCCAAGAATTCTCGGATAAAACCTGTGTTCCATTTTCAAAAATTCTCGTTTTTTCTCCCTGTTCACAGTGAAGTAATCGAAATTTCGGTCGAAACGTACGTAGAAGGCTTCGGTGCAGTCGGAAATTTTGTTTTAATCGAATAACGTGACTTCGTTTCATTTCCCATTGGTTAGTTTCCTTGGTCTCTGGCTGGTCGGTCTGGCAAAGTGGAAAGAACCCCGGACCGAAGATCACCAGCCGAACTCTAAAAAAAGGTGGTTCAATCGATCACTTTCCTGAGCTTCTTCAAATGAGAGGAAGGCAAAATTGACTAATGAGCAACACTTTCGCAAGTTCCCATATCGAGATTCTTTGTAATGCTTCAATAAACGAGCAGCACTCGTTGCTTACCAATTGATTTTCGAAAATCAGGCGTAACGAGTTTATCGAAGGCTTCAAAAACGTTCCAGTAGATATTTAGCCTTCTTTGACTAGTAATCCTCATCAATAGGTTTTGGATTAATTCAGAGCCCAAAAGGCTGGAACTAAAAGCTAAGCTGTGTTGTAAGAACCTTAAGTGAACTCAGAAATTTTTTTTCGAGTTTTCTCTCCATACGTATCCGATCTTTTTTTTTTTTTTAGGTTTATCATTTACCTGCTACGAGAAGAAAGTACTCCGTCTTTTTCAGTTGCTTTATACGCATTTCAATATTCTCTTTCACATGATCCGTATGCTTTTGAAGTAAAGTTATCATCTGTTCATCCATTCTTCCTACAAAAGCTACGGCTTCGGTGTAAAAATCGAGTAAGTGCCGTCTTTTCCTGGCATCTTCTTCTTTAGCTTCGGATAAAACGGAGAAGGCCTAAAAAAGTAAAGCTGTTATGTTACAAGGTTTAGTTAATTGAGGAGGTTTCTACAAGTACACGCACGGCTGATTCTAGTCTTACGAAAGCGAAGAATGCCCAATCGGATTTTGTATTTGAGTGGCTGGCTTTCAAACTCTAGCGACCACGTGACAAAACCGTTTGTTTTTATATATTTAAATTCTTGTTTTATGTATCTCTATTTAGAAACGGTTTTTTCTCGATAATGTGTGGCGCCAATGGGTTTTATTGCGTTACAAAAGGCAGCATACCCTATTAATCTGCAAATTTGACCTCTGCCAGTGAGGTTTATTTTTTAAGGCTTCCAATTTTGTCTTTAGTATAAGGCTTCACTTTAAGCCCGAGTCGTACATACATACATGCATACGTGTTTTTAAACAGTATATCGACTATTTCCAAAGGGCCTCTTCATATGAGCCCGGTTGACCGGGCTGGCTCGGTTACCGGGATGAATTTAGCCTGCGTAGCTGGCGGTATTGTGTGGGTGCGAGATTAAAGTTTTGGCGGCGGAGCCGTGTTCCAAAAAAAGGGACTAGGGACGAGGCGGTTGAAATACCCACTTTCTCGCGGCTTCGCCGTTCGTGACGGCTCCGCCGTCAAATCTCACTCAACTATATTACAACGGCTCCGCCGCCAAATCTCACTCGACTACTACACAATACCGCCAGCTACGCGGTCTTGGGTTCATATGAGAAATTTCAGCCCTGTTTCCGAGATGAGAAAAGGTCAAAGATCCTGGGGACGAGTTCTGGCGCCAAATTCGGGAAACAAAACAAACATAGCGAAACACAAACATTTTAGCTTTCGGGCCTATCCTCAGTTTGTTTCCTTGATTTCGGTTTTCGTTTCGATTTACAGTGTGCAAAATCAAAACAGAAAATGAAAAAGTGAAAAGAGACTCAAAAACAAAACTTAAAAACAAAATTGAATTTTAAAAAAAAATTGAAACGAAAATTAAGTAATGTAAACAAAAACTGACAACAGAAAATGAAAAAAGTACAAAGCAAAATGTTATAAAAGGAAAAATGAAAAAGTAAAAAAGAAAAGCAATTAAGATAGGTCAATGATCCCGCTGGGCTTCCGTACCGGACCCGTATAATACCAGTCACGGAAATATGTAAAACGGGGGAGAATAAATACAATTACTGTCTCGCCCTTTGCTTTATCCGTGGACGCAAAAGGCGAGAAACGGTATAATCTGTGTGTTTTGCGGGACTAGTAGCACAGCAAAATTTGAAATTTTTCATGAATTATAGCTTTTTTCGGTGGAAGGCCACTGAGATTATTTTAACCGCGGAGCATGGAAAAACAAACCACTTAGTGAAGGTGACAACCTTTCAAGTGTTCTCCACAGCATGCAGTGAACACGTAAAACTATTTTGGGTCACTCTAGCTTTTGAATCTGTGGGTGAAAAACACAGTACTTTAATTCTAGCACGACGCTCTATATTTCTTGGATATTGATTACACCTGAAATAAAATTTTACTTTAGCAGTATTGTGAATAGCAGTTTCTTTTAGTTCGTGTAGTTTAAAGATAATGTACGTAGGTCCCGGGAAAGGGACACTCCCTTATTTGGCCTATACAGGTATGTGCCGCTGAACAGGGTATGTTTTTCAAGGTCTTTAGTCCTAAACAGGATATACAATTTCACTATTAAGCGTCTTGAACAAGGTGTCTTTTTGGACTGGAAGCGTTTCAAAGAGTGTGAAGACTTGCGATAAGCGGTCTACATTTGCAATACCAATAATTTTTTTCCCAAACATCTATTTCCACGATTTTGGTGTGAAAAATTACTTAATTCTGCATTCAAAACCAAACAAATCAGGGTAAAAAAAAAGTGCCTCTTATCTCAAACAGGGTAGCGAAATGAGCAATTTTTGTCTTAAACAGGGTCGGGGTTTAAAGGCCTCGGCAGCACACATCAACCCAAACTTCCCTTGAGTGTCCCACCGCGACCTAGGTAAACAAGGATCAACTTGCACACGAGACGTCTCATTACATCCCAAAAAACATTTACATGCCACTCGGACGACGCCATAGCATTCCGTTCCGAGAACACAAACTGATCATGAAAGTTGACCTTGGTGATATCGGTTAATTGAGAAAAAGGTGGCTCGCCATCGTTGCCTTTATAACGTTTCAACATCATGGACTAAATTAGGTTCCACTGTCTTGAAAAATTCAAGGAAATCGACACGAAATTAAACAATGCTGGCTCGAGGGACCGGAGTACTAGACACAATGCTTTTCGGTGAGCCTCCCCCCTCCGAAGTTTAAACCCCTTACCCTTTTATGTACTACTTTTAATAAGAAAGGTACCCATTTCATATCCCTTTCATAGAAATAATACCCCTCTTATATATTCCACAATACAACACTGCAATCCATTTCTACCCTTGAAGCTAAGAAGCGTTTTCAATAGACCTTTTTACCGATACGGCGGCCATATTGAATTAAATTGATTTAAGGAGTATTATAGGATGCCCAGGGTGCATGAGCGCATTTTGTTAGTTTGTACGAGCGCATTTCGGGACATTTTTTCGTAAAATTTTCTTAGAATAAGATTCTAAAGGGAAAAAAGATAATTGTGCCTTGTTTGGATGTAATAATCATCGCCTTTTTCTAGCTTAGTATTAGAAAGATGGTCTTTCACCAGATATTTCTCGGGAAAAAGGCGATCATTATTACATCCAAACACGGCACAGAGATCTTTTTTCCCATTACAATCTTATTCTAACAAAACTTTGAGAAAAAATGCCCCGAAAAACGCTCGTAAATATAAACGAAATGTGCTCATGCCCCCTGGGCATCCTATAATACTCCTTAAATCGAATGAATTCAATATGGCCGCCGTATCGGTAAAAAGGTCTATTGGTTAATGACCGCTGCATAACCGAGGGTATTGAACTCACGTTTCTCTTGAATACCTTTTAAATAGCTAGCAATTGGCAGTTTCCCCTCAACCTTTTCTATACCTGATCACCACGTGAAATGCTTAACGTTTTATATACCTCGCTCATGAAAAGGTAGCCGTTTCGGGCGGAGCATTCCCGTTTGGTCCGTTATGTATGGGGTTTCCCCCCGGGAAGGCTGGACGGAAGGGAATCGATAAGTGTAACCAGCCTGAGAATGGTATGTTTAAATTCTGTACCTGCCCTGCTGACCAGCTCGACGTCTTGTCTGCTTGGTCTAACACAGTTCTTACTCGAGATTTCATCTCGTTCAGCGTCTGCACTCCTTCGAACGACACACCAAGGGCTTCCATCGTTTGAAACGTCTCCACCATGTTCATGTTATCAATGTTATTCCTTTTACCAGTTGCAATTTTACTCAGTATAAAGCTCCTTGCAGGTTTTTGGAAAAGTCGAAATTATCTGAAGACTCGCCCGCCCTAATTGCTCTGCTCTGCTTGAGTGCAGATTTCCCTCTACTTTTGTTTCGCGAAACATCAGCGAAGGAAGTCCGGATATTACACTTCCCAGAAAAATCTTAGGAAATTGTGGGGTGGAGGGTGGGGTTAATGAATTGATAATGCTTGACAGCCCTGTTTATGATGGTAAATCCGCGCATTCGGCTCAGTTATTTTGAATTCGAAGTATTGGGATTCTATAAAAGAGAGCTCATAAGTGAATAGAACTTAAACCATGGAATTAATTTTTGTCATATAGCACTCGAGGCTCAATCAATTCTATAAGCGTACCCATACCTCCTGGGCGTTTGTCTTTTTTGTTTGGGAATGCTGCAAGTCCTACAGTGGAGCCGCGCGGTTCATACAAAGACCTCAGGCTTATAATGGGGCTTAAAAAAAGTGTGCAAATGCCCCACCCTAGGACAAGACAAAAATTGCATTTTCCAGTGAATATGCTGCAAATGCCATATTTACAGAAAATCTGTACGTGAAACACCCTTCGCAAATCGCTCCTAGCCGCTAGTTAAATTTATTGCAAAAAGTCACATCGATCTGATTAATGTTAATGACAGAGCTATAAACTAGAATTTTAAAAGTACACTTCTTTTTCGAAGGTATTTAACTCAGCAGTGAGTGATAAACAAACAACCGACAAGCTTAACATGATGAGTACCGTTATTTCCTCGAATAATAGCCGGGGGTGATTATTCGAGGGAGTTGATTAGGGTGCATGAGCGTAACCAGCCTGAGAATGGTATGTTTAAATTCTGTACCTGCCCTGCTGACCAGCTCGACGTCTTGTCTGCTTGGTCTAACACAGTTCTTACTCGAGATTTAATCTCGTTCAGCGTCTGCACTCCTTCGAACGACACACCAAGGGCTTCCATCGTTTGAAACGTCTCCACCATGTTCATGTTATCAATGTTATTCCTTTTACCAGTTGCAATTTTACTCAGTATAAAGCTCCTTGCAGGTTTTTGGAAAAGTCGAAATTATCTGAAGACTCGCCCGCCCTAATTGCTCTGCTCTGCTTGAGTGCAGATTTCCCTCTACTTTTGTTTCGCGAAACATCAGCGAAGGAAGTCCGGATATTACACTTCCCAGAAAAATCTTAGGAAATTGTGGGGTGGAGGGTGGGGTTAATGAATTGATAATGCTTGACAGCCCTGTTTATGACGGTACATTCGCGCATTCGGCTCAGTTATTTTGAATTCGAAGTATTGAGATTCTATAAAAGAGAGCTCATAAGTGAATAGAACTTAAACCATGGAATTAATTTTTGTCATATAGCACTAGAGGCTCAATCAATTCTATAAGCGTACCCATCCCCCCTGGGCGTTTGTCTTTTTTGTTTGGGAATGCTGCAAGTCCTACAGTGGAGCCGCACGGTTCATACAAAGACCTCAGGCTTATAATGGGGCTTAAAAAAGTGTGCAAATGCCCCACCCCAGGACAACACAAAAATTGCATTTTCCAGTGAATATGCTGCAAATGCCATATTTACAGAAAATCTGTGCGTGAAGCACCCTTCGCAAATCGCTCCTAGCCGCTAGTTAAATTTATTGCAAAAAGTCACATCGATCTGATTAATGTTAATGACAGAGCTATAAACTAGAATTTTAAAATTACACTTCTTTTTCGAAGGTATTTAACTCAGCAGTGAGTGATAAACAAACAACCGACAAGCTTAACATGATGAGTACCGTTATTTCCTCGAATAATAGCCGGGGGTGATTATTCGAGGGAGTTGATTACTTCAAATATTGCTCTCCGAAATTCGAGCTTTAAATGTTTTGTTTCTTTTAATCCCCAAATCAAAAACACATTCAATAAACTGAACATGGGTTTTTTAAGTGTTCCAAATCTGGTTCCTTGATTAATTTTCAATGTAAATATCCTCGGCGTCAGAGCTTGAATCGTCCAGCTGATCAATATTGCTCGATCAGACTCCACTTCAACTTGACAGGAAGGGTATAAGAAAAGAGAAGATGGCGAGAGGGGTGTGTGTGCGTGTGTGTGTGTATGTGGGGGATTATTCGTGGGAGGCCATTATTTTAAATATTTCTGTTTCAAGAGGGGTGATTACTCGAGGGAGGCGATTAATCGAGTGGCGGCTAATATTCAAGCAAATACGGTGTACAATTTTGTCTCATCACGACGGAACCGTTTCAGTCAACGTAATTTAACCGTCGAATTGATCACACAGAACACGAAGTTTATATAAGGTTTCAAGTATCTCGCAGAGTTCCTCTAGGCTTCAACCATTCGCTCACAAAGAAAGTGTCTTTTCCGTTAAACTCGATCTTCAAACGATGCATTGATTGTTCTTCAATTCTTCCATGTGCAAACTGATCACGGCGGCAAATTGTCAGGGTCTGGAAGAGTATTTTCGGGACACGGGATTTGACTCAGGCGGGTTCGGGATTCGTAAAACCGCAAAATAATTTACGGGAAACGGAAATTGTCTTCTACAGGGGAAGCGGGATTCACTAAAATTCGTGCACAGGATGTGGATTTTTTCTCTCCCTGTCAGGAATTTGGGAAGTCGCGCGCTCTAGCGGCAAAAGCGAAGTCAAACAGGCGAGCATTCAGAGGTGTCTCCTATGAAAGTATTAACTATAGAGTGACGAAGGTAATGGTATATAATTATATAATTGAAACTGTCAAGTAATAAACAGACGAACGAACAGAAGACAAGTGCTTATGTCTTAAATTGCTCAAGCTCTTTACATTTAATCATTGTATTGAAGAACTACATTGATCACTGAAACTTGATTGGCCTAACCATCATCATATGAGCCATTGTTATATTCCTAGACTTTCACTCAACTCAGGGACTGCCATAGATATATTTTTTAGCAACTACCATAATTTGCAGTCTGTCCACTTTGAATTGATTTGAATTGGTTTATTCTTGGTCACGTGGCCTTGACTAAAATCAAATGCATTACAGCAGGTGATCAAAGCATGGTGGAAAGTGGCGTGCCAGAAGGCGGGGAAAAGACTGCCAGGTGCTGCCAGTTTTTTTTTTTTTTTGTGAATGAACACAACAACGCAAACACGAAGGCTCAAGCTAAAAAGCAACGATTTTTAAAGTTGTCGCAGAAGTTCCCAGAAGAAAAACAGCAGCTAGTGGAGGAAAAGAGATAGGTAAATGATCCCGCTGGGCTTCAGTACCGGACCCGTATAATGCCAGTCACGGAAATATGTAAACGGTCGCCCTTTACATTATACGTAAAATTTATGCGCTCCAAGTCGAGAAACGGTGTAATCTGAAGTTTTAACGTGCTATTGTAGGACTAGTTGCAAAACAAAATTTGAGATTTTTCATGAATAATAGCTTTTTTTCTGTGACAGGTCAAGGAGATTATTTCAACCGCGGAGCATCGAAAAACAAACCACTTAGAGAAGGGGACAACCTTTCAAGTGTTCTCCACAGCATGCAGTGAACACGTGAAACTATTTGGGGTGACTCTAGCTTGTAAATCTGTGGGTGAAATACACAGTACTTTAATTCATTTTTTAGCTCGACACTATATATTTCTTGGACATTGATTACACCTGAAATAAAATTTTACTTTAGCAGTATTGGGAATAGCAGTTCCTTTTAGGACGTGCAGTTGAAAAACAATGTAAACAAGGGTCAACGTACAGACGTCTCTATTACACCTTAAATAACGCATTTCCTTGTCACGAGGACGACGCAATAGCATTCCGTTCCAAGAACCGTAAATGAAAGTTGACTTTGGTGATATCGGTTAATTGAGACGAAAAAGGTGGCTCGCCATCGTTGCCTTTATAACGTTTCAACATCATGGACTAAATTAGGTTCCACTGTCTTGAAAAATTCAAGGAGATCGACACGAAATTAAACAATGCGGGGGACAGGGGGTACTAGACAAAATTCTGTGCGGTAAGCCCCCCCCCCCCCCCCTCCCCGCGGTTCAAACCCCTTACCCTTTTAAATACTACTTTTAATAAAAAAGGTACCCGTTTCATATCCCTTTCATTGAAATAATACCCTTTTATATATTCCACAATACAACACTGCAATCCATTTCTACCCTTGAAGCTAAGAAGCATTTTTAATTGGTTAATGACCGCTGAATAACCGAGCGTATTGAGCTCACTTTTCTCTTCAATACCTTTTAAATAGCTAACAGATGGCAGTTCCCCCAACCTTTTCTATACCTCAGCACGTGAAATGCTTACCCTTTTATATAGCTCACTCGTGAAAAGGTAGCCGTTTCGGGCGGAGAATTCCCGTTTAGTTCGTTATGTACGGGGTTTCCCCCCGGGAAGGCTGGAAGGAAGAGAATCGACGAGTGTAACCAGCCTGAGAATGGTATGTTTAAATTCCTTACCTGCCCTGCTGACCAGCTCGACGTCTTGTCTGCTTGGTCTAACACAGTTCTTACTCGAGATTTCATCTCCCTCAGCGTCTCCACTCCTTCGAACGACACACCAAGGGCTTGCATCGTTTGAAACGTGTCCACCATGTTCATGTTATCAATGTTATTCGTTTTGCCAGTTGCCATTTTACTTAGTATAAAGCTCCTTGTGGGTTTTTGGAAAAGTCGAAATTATCTGAAGACGCGCTCGCCCTTACTGCTCTGCTCTGCATGAGAGTACATTTCCCTCTACTTTTGTTTCGCGAAACATCAGCGAAGGAAGTCCGTAGATTACACTTCCCAGAAAAATCTTAGGAAATTGTGGGGTGGAGGGTGGGGTTGACTGCTACAGTAAAGAAAAAAAATCAAAATGAAATGATAATGCTTGACAGCCCAGTTTATGTGGGTACATCCGGGCATTCGGCTCAATTATTTTGAATTCGAAGTATTGAGATTCTATAAAAGAGAGCTCATAAGTGAATAGAACTTAAACCATGGAATTAATTTTTGTCATATAGCACTCGAGGCTCAATCAATTCTATAAGCGTACCCATCCCCCCTGGGCGCTTGTCTTTTTTGTTTGGGAATGCTGCAAGTCCTACAGTGGGGCCGCGCGGTTCATACAAAGACCTCAGGCTTATAATGGGGCTTAAAAAAGTGTGCAAATGCCCCACCCCAGGACAACACAAAAATTGCATTTTCCAGTGAATATGCTGCAAATGCCATATTTACAGAAAATCTGTGCGTGAAGCACCCTTCGCAAATCGCTCTTAGCCGCTAGTTAAATTTATTGCAAAAAGTCACATCGATCTGATTAATGTTAATGACAGAGCTATAAACTAGAATTTTAAAAGTACATTTCTTTTTCGAAGGTATTTAACTCAGCAGTGAATGATAAACAACCGACGAGCTTAACATGAGTACCGTTATTTCCTCGAATAATAGCCGGGGGTGATTATTCGAGGGAGTTGATTACTTCAAATATTGCTCTCCGGAATTCGAGCTCTAAATGTTTTGTTTCTTTCAATCCCCAAATCAAAAACACATTCAATAAACTGAACATGGGTTTTTTAAGTGTTCCAAATCTGGTTCCTTGATTAATTTTCAATGTAAATATCCTCGGCGTCAGAGCTTGAATCGTCCGGCTGATCAATATTGCTCGATCAGACTCCACTTCAACTTGACAGGAAGGGTATAAGAAAAGAGAAGATGGCGAGAGGGGTGTGTGTGCGTGTGTGTGTGTGTGTATGTGGGGGCGGGGGGGGGATTATTCGTGGGAGGCGATTATTTTAAATATTTCTGTTTCAAGAGGGGTGATTACTCGAGGGAGGCGATTAATCGAGTTGCGGCTAATATTCAAGTAAATACGGTGTACAATTTTGTCTCATCACGACGGAACCGTTTCAGTCAACGTAATTTAACCGTCGAATTGATCACACAGAACACGAAGTTTATATAAGGTTTCAAGTATCTCGCAGAGTTCCTCTAGGCTTCAACCATTCGCTCACAAAGAAAGTGTCTTTTCCGTTAAACTCGATCTTCAAACGATGCATTGATTGTTCTTCAATTCTTCCATGTGCAAACTGATCACGGCGGCAAATTGTCAGGGTCTGGAAGAGTATTTTCGGGACCCGGGATTTGACTCAGGCGGGTTCGGGATTCGTAAAACCGCAAAATAATTTACGGGAAACGGAAATTGTCTTCTACAGGGGAAGCGGGATTCACTAAAATTCGTGCACAGGATGTGGATTTTTTCTCTCCCTGTCAGGAATTTGGGAAGTCGCGCGCTCTAGCGGCAAAAGCGAATTCAAACAGGCGAGCATTCAGAGGTGTCTCCTATGAAAGTATTAACTATAGAGTGACGAAGGTAATGGTATATAATTATATAATTGAAACTGTCAAGTAATAAACAGACGAGCGAACAGAAGACAAGTGCTTATGTCTTAAATTGCTCAAGCTCTTTACATTTAATCATTGTATTGAAGAACTACATTGATCACTGAAACTTGATTGGCCTAACCATCATCATATGAGCCATTGTTATATTCCTAGACTTTCACTCAACTCAGGGACTGCCATAGATATATTTTTCAGCAACTACCATAATTTGCAGTCTGTCCACTTTGAATTGATTTGAATTGGTTTATTCTTGGTCACGTGGCCTTGACTAAAATCAAATGCATTACAGCAGGTGATCAAAGCATGGTGGAAAGTGGCGTGCCAGAAGGCGGGAAAAAACTGCCAGGTCCTGCAGTTTTTCTTTTTTCGTGAATGAACGCAACAACGCAAACACGAAGGCTCAAGCTAAAAAGCAACGATTTTTAAAGTTGTCGCAGAAGTTCCCAGAAGAAAAACAGCAGCTAGTGGAGAAAAAAAGATAGGTAAATGATTCCGCTGGGCTTCAGTACCGGACCCGTATAATGCCAGTCACGGAAATATGTAAAACGGTCTCGCCCTTTACATTATCCGTGGACGTAAAATTTATGCGCTCCAAGTCGAGAAACGGTGTAATCTGAAGTTTTAACATGGTATTGCAGGACTAGCAGCAAAACAAAATTTGAGATTTTTCATGAATTATAGTTTTTTTCGATGGAAGCTTGGTCACGGAAATTATTTCAACCGCGGAGCATGGAAAAACAAACCACTTAGTGAAGGTGACAACCTTTCAAGTATCCTCCGCAGCCGTGCAGTGAACACGTAAAACTATTTGGGGGCATTCTAGCTTGTAAATCTGTGGGGGGAATACACAGTACTTTAATTCATTTTTTAGCACGACGCTATATAGCCTGCGCAGCAGGCGCTTGGAAGTAGCGGGCGAAAGAGAGAACGGGCGCGCGCGAGGGAGACACGCAAGGGGTGAGTTGCTCATGAGTTGTGAGTTGCTCATGTACTACGTCGATCGAGAATTCTCTCTTTTGAGTTCACGAAACGGCCCCGGCGCGCGTTCCAAACCTGACGCTCACAGTCATCTTTTAGTGTGAACCTACCGTGAACGGCGTGTGGGTTTGTATGCAACGTAAGCATTTTTCTGAGTTTCCCAGCGCCAACATCATCAACTGAAAGGGGCAGCCCAGTAATGACTTTTCTTTACGTTAAGTTGGTTCGTCCATCTATCGTCACATAACTGCGATTCTTAACATTAGCAACATTACTATCACCATGGCTTTTTAGAAATAACCTATTGAAATGAAAATACCCTTTGCTTTCCATAGACTTTCTTTTCACGGGCATTTGAATGCCATTTGAAGGAAAAGAAACAAAAAGCCAAATTTGAATCGGTACCAACGTGAAGCGTATTTTCAAACATGGAGTAATGTAATGCACATTGATTCGCAAAAAAAAATGGCATACTGTCACCACAGGGAATTTGTAACAGAGTTTTTGGCATCATGTGTGAAAACAGGAATAACATTCTGCCACGCACTCCACGAGCACTATTTCTGCCCTTTGTCAGCGCTTGCCCGCGAATTAGTCTCTACAGAAAATAAAGACGGCGGAACTCCAGTGTCTTTTTTTATACTAGAACGCATTTTAAAATTGACAGACGGGTCCTCAGTGATTCACCGGGATGGATCATCCGTCTCTAGTATCTCAAATATCTTTAGGGAATAAAATACGGTGGCTCCTTCGATCGTGCGCTGTGGCAAGAAGTCAGGAGCCTTGTCAACCTCGGAGATCGACTCTAGTAACGCTCTTACGAACGGCTCAGACGCGAAGGCTGATTCATCCCCAGGAATAGTTGGCCTTTGTTTTCCGTTCTTTCGTATTTTTAAAGTTCCGTTAGATCGGAATAATCGGGCAAAAAGATGCAGCTTGAACTTAAAGAGCTCATATATGTTTGTGATCTATTGACGTTTTGTCACGTGATCTCTGAGATGGAAGCGAAGCGGAAGACTTTCGGTTTCACAGTAGCTACTGGACGGAGGCACATTTCTTGTTTACTAAACGATAAGGAAAACTTATAAGGAGGGGTTTTTTCTCATGAAGAAGTTCATCCTAGTAGAGAATTGTTCTTTAAAGTTGGAATACTCTTGATGAGAATTCATAGCACAAGTCGTGTCCGGACATGTTTCGTGCCTCAGCACGATACAAAAATGCAGAGCGTATATTTTCTCACGATCACGGACTGGAAGGGAAAATTAAAGCGGTGCATCTTGTGAGTAATACAAGAAAAAACACGAACGGAATGATATAAAAACTATCATAAATTTACACATTTCGTTAGGTCTAGCATTAACTAAACGGCTTGACCACGCATGGCTTCATAGCGATCACGAAATGTCGCTCCTCTTGAAACACACTAAACTTCGCCGGCCAAACTCGTGTCGGTTCTGAAATTTTACTAACAAATAACGTACCTCTCCTGGTGACCAGTTCAACGTCGTCTTTTCTGCCTTTTCTAACACAGTTCTTATTCGAGACCTAGCGTCGCTTCGTGTCTCTACCTCTTCGTCTGCTACACCAAGAGCCTCCATCGTTTCAAGCAGTTCCTTCATAGTCATTTCGTCGATGCTTTTCGCTTTGCCAGAAGCCATTTTGCATAACCTGCTGGCCGTTGCTTGTCACACGCGAAGGTATTTGAAGAAAGAACTATGAGCAGCGCTTCGTTGCTTTCTCATTGCCAACGAGGCAGGCAGACTATAACGCCGTGCAATGTGGGCGAAACCCCTCACATTCTGCGTAACCCTCTAAAATTTGTATTTTTCATATTTGGGTGTAAGTAAGACCGCATATTTGGGCAGTGACGTCATGGTCTTGTATTTATAACTCGTGGTTTGAAATTGTGTGGTCCAGTGTGCAGCTGTTCGTTGTCAACAGGTGAGCAAGTTTTCTACGATTTCTAGACTATAACGCCGTGCAATGTGGGCGAAACCCCTCACATTCTGCGTAACCCTCTAAAATTTGTATTTTTCATATTTGGGTGTAAGTAAGACCGCATATTTGGGCAGTGACGTCATGGTCTTGTATTTATAACTCGTGGTTTGAAATTGTGTGGTCCAGTGTGCAGCTGTTCTTTGTCAACAGGTGAGCAAGTGTTAATACGATTTCTAGTTTGAAAAGGCTATTAGTGGTTTGGTTTGCTTTATAAATTGCGTTTGAAGCAGCAGCTGATCAAGGAATAGGGTTTTACGCTCAAATTTTTGTCAGAGCCAGCTTGTTCTTCGCAGGCTTACATTCGAGCTAGCGTGTTTGCTTTATACATTCTCTATTCAGAACCAGGGTTTGCAGTGCTCTCTTTTCCTTTGTAAATTGAATTTTAAGCGGTAGCTGATCAAGGAATAGTATTATAGGCTCAAATTTTTATTAGAACCAGCGTGCCCGGGGGTACTCCCGCGAATTTTGGATAGGGGTGTGCCGCAAAGGTTCGTGAACCCTAACCCTATTTAAGGACAAAGAAAGCGAAAACTGATACCCTTTTTAAGGCCCAAAGCCGAAAAATGACACCCTATTCAAGGAAAAATTAATAATGTGGCTTGAAGAGGCGTTACGTGTATTTACCCGCTTAACGGCTAGTAAACCTCTGTTACAAAATCATTTTGTTAATACTTAAACGGATACATCAGGTTTAAAAAAAAACCCTTTCGTTTAGACGAGCGTTTTCACACTCTAGTATTAGATAATACAATTAAGCTACCCTATCTAAGGACCACACCAGGGACAAAGAAACAAAAGGGTCAAAAAAGATACCCTATTTAAGGACCGAGAACCTCAAAAACCATACCCTATTACGCGGCACGTACCTATATAGCCCATATATGGGAGTACCCCCCCCGGGCCAGCGTGTTCTTCGTAGCTCGATTCGCATTGAGCCAGCGTGTTCGCACCTGTGTGTTTGCCTGTCAATTTCGAACGAGGTGTTCTTTCGTCGACTGAGACGTTCTGAAGACTTACGAGAAAAGAAGCGAAGTGATTTATTTTTACATCTTTTAGCAGAAAAAAATCCTTAAACGCCAGCGTTGCGTATTAAATCAAGACAAACACGTGGTTTCCATTGCTTGACACTGCGAGCGTTCAGTCGCATACCAACTTTGTCATGTTTCATGTTTACTGCTTCATGCTGATTGTATCACTCATTATTTGTGGAAGCAGTTGCTCCATAATTAAACCTCCGCGTTCTTGTTTAAGTGACGATTTACAATTACACAAAATTAGATGTTGTGGCCCGTGCTTATATACGGTCACCTATTACAAACGGACATATTTGTCTAGAAGAATTCCGTATGCTTCAAATGGTAGTTTTAATCCTTACATAATAACAAAGAAGGAAGCACATTTGGTCAATGGAAATCCAGCATTGTCAAAGGATTCAAACTCCCGTAAATCTTCCCAAACCAAACCACATTTAGAAGAACGTTTTGGTAAAGAAATATCGCAGTTATTGCCTCGTTCATTCCTCCCCGTTGAGCAAATGCATTTCAGGAATTACTGCCTTGATTTTCCAGGAAAATTCTCATGTGCAATTGATAGTTTTATGGAGTTAAGCTGTTACATTTTTAAAGATGCTATTGAGTCTGTGGAACGTAATGAATTTTTTGAAATGTTATATACAGCATGTGTGCAAGTATATAGTGGTGAAATCCTTTCCAACCAGTTACATTCAGTCCGAGAACCCATTTGGGCCTGGATGAGACAGGACTGTGCCTCTTTTACAGGTATGTCAGATAATGCTGTATTCAGTGACATATTCCAAATCAATACTTTTGGAGAATTAACGTTTGGTTTAAAATCATTATTTCTTATTCAACATACCAACCATTCCATTTGTTCAGAGTGTAACCAGGAAATCACCAAATCCACAGATGTTTTTGTCTTGTATATTACCTATCGCCATATAAATCAGAATGGTTTTGAAAGTTTTGTATCAGAAGCTATGCTGCCAAACATCAATAGACTTTTTTGTGTTTACTGCCAAAATCATTCTGGAAGTGTTGCTTCACTTCGACACTTTGTGTGCCTGCCAACCTTTTTAATGATAGAATTGTATAACTCAAATGTTTTTTCCACATGATATGGAAACCTTAGGAGTTTCATACTGCATCAAAGGAATTGTTAGGTGTTTAAATAGACATTTTACTGTTGCCTTAAAAAGTGAGAGGGGTTTGATCTATATTGATATTGTGATATTGTGTGTTTCTGTAAGGCATTTCTTATCCTTTCAAGAAGTATTGTATAATTATCTGGATGGCTGGTTTTTTGCCATATTTCAAAAGTCTGAGTCTGTAGACATTAATTTACATGAATCTGCAAATCAGACCTGTAATAGCTTCACCATAAATCCAGTTGTTTGCAAATCAGTTTCAAAAGACTCTTGCAGTACGAAAGAAGTGAAGTTAGACCAAAAAGTCACAAGTTATAAAAAGGATAACAGAGTCAAATGTAATAACTATATGAAGTGTTACAGAAAACAGCCACAAGTCAAGGCAAAAAATAATGCATACATGCAGAAGTATAGAGCTAAAATTTATTCTGAACTTGAATTAAACGAAAGGGGCAAATTAGAAATACGTAAAAGAAATGAAAACCAAAGAAATGATTTAGAAATTAAATTTACAATGAAGCGGAAAAGTCAAAGCATTAATTCCTCAAATGATAAATATTATGCAGATGAAAACATTAAACGACTTAAACAGGAAATAAGAAAAAGGTCTTCACAAACATCTAGTGAAGTGAAGGAAAGAAAAAAGTTGTACATGCGGGCATACAGGCTCAAGAAAAAAAATTCAGATAGTAGTGTAATGACTGAAGGAGTAACAAGTCTGAAAAATGGAGTTTCTAGCCAGGAAATGTATTTATCTGAGTTTAAAATAAGTAACTGTGGAGAGCTTCACCAACAAGAGTGGGCAAAACTGAACATGCAAAAGTTTCATTAGCCTGAAATTCATCCGATTGCTTCGAGTCGTTTTCTCCTCTCAACAACGTCTGAATCGACCGGCTGTTAATGCCGTCCAGTGACGTCACTCACTACCCAAAAACCGGGTAGTGATTTTGATTGGTTCATTGTCTAAACATTCGCATAATTATGTATAATTATGAAACATTTTAGCGGGATTGTCGCTTGATATTCAGTGGATCGCATCCCTGGCATTCTTTCGTTTAGTTCAAACATTTCTATTAGCTTAATCTTTATCTTAAACAGCAAAATTGCCCTCGTCTTTGAAACTGACATGCTAAATTGAACTGCGAATGAAAAATCATTGCGAAGAGTCAGTAGGTTTTTCATTTAGAGCCGCTTTGTGGTTTCAGCGGCCGGTGATTTTGTTTATGCGAAGTTTTCTGACATCAATGTTGTAATTGGACCTTCTTAAATGCTATTTGGGACTGTGCAATAATGCAATGTAGGGGGGGCTGAAAAACTAGAGGGAGGGCATTACATAAAATTGCTGCCAAAATAGGGGGGGCTCAAAGTAAAATCATTCATTTGACAGAGGGGGTCCTTAAGTTTTATTCAAAATGTAAATAAAATTAAACGCAATAAAATATTCTCAATACAGGCATCATGATAGACTGTAACAAATATCAACACGAAAAGCTGTTAAACGATTATTGAAAGTATATTTCCATCAAAATGAAAAGCAAATTCACAACTGATCAATTTTAACCCGTTTCTAATTAATAGAGCTGATCCTATGTAAAGCAAAAATGATGCACTTGTTTTTCAGCTTCCCCCATAAAACAATGGGAATCAAACAGATCTCGCAGACAAACTTTGTCGGTTTTTGATGTGAATAAAAGTAATGTTTCTTCATCGACTGAATCAATTTGCTGAATTCCATATATATGTGGCTCATAACAAAGTTCAACAGGCTCTCCTCCCAAGGATCTAAATATAATGCAAGCTCTTTTCGTCTGTTATTTGAAGCGTTCAATCTCCTGTTCTTTGATTTTTTCTCTGCTCCTTTCTCTTTCTGGCTTCAGAAATTTTAGATTTTGAGCCAATGTGGTAAGCACCCCGGTACTTAGCAAATGCTTTGTCTAAATCTTCAATCAAGCGATCAACATCCTTCTCGATACTAGATGTTACATAATAACATTTGTCATTATTGAAGCTGTGATGGCAGCTCAGTCCAGTTTTGAGTTTACCAGTGTGGTGGGAGGGGGGGTGCTACTTTATTTTTAACATAACAGAGGGGGGTTAGAATTAATTTTTTTTTGTTTTAGAGGGGGTGTACTGTCTAAGTTTTTGCTAGATAACTCTAGTTTTTCAGCCCCCCCCTCCTGATAGTTATTGCACAGTCCCTAAAAATTTACCGTCAAGTGAAATGATTCTGTTAGCTTTTCTTTCTTGTCTCCTTGTTTTTTTCTTTGCTAAGGACCAAATAGCTTCTTTTCAATTAAAGCAAATCATTGTGTTTTTGAACTAAGTGTTCCTTGTGTGTCTTTATTTCATTTCATTGCGTGCTTGTGACCGAGTTTGTGATTATAGAATTTAGTACAACCGCTTCAGATTTTTATTACGTGCAGTTGATAGTTTGAACGTTAAACATGAATTACAATAGAAAAAATAAAGCAGTTCTGTATCATGCAGACACTTCCAAACGATATTTCTCGGTTTGCCACTTGAAAATCGTGTGTTACTTTTTGCATGAATTAAAGCAAAGGTCAAGGAGTAGTGACGTCACTGGACGGTAATAACGGCCAGTCGATTCAGACGTTACTGAGGGAGTAATAACGACTCGAAGTAATCGGATGAAATTCAGGCTATTAAAAGTTTCATGATTCGATGAAGTTAAGAATTTCTTTATGTCAATGCTGTCATGAAGCATGGCCACTTCACATTAAAACAAAAAAGAAAAAGGAACCATATATTTGTACCAGGTGCTTAAGAGACAAGAATGATACAAAAAAATTTTCATTTGAAAACAGCTTGCTACCATCTGCTGTGCCAGTAGCACTTGAAAATCTGACACAAATAGAAGAAATGGTCATAGCCAGAGTGTTCCCCGTTATGAGTGTTTATACTAAGCCAGGAGGGCAGAGAGCATATAGAGGCCATTGCATCAATTTTCCCCAAGAAGTTCAACAGCTTTTTTATACTTTGCCTAGGCAACCAAAAGAATTACCAGTTATTATAGTTACAGTTGAGGGTAAAAATGATATGTCAAAAGATCTAATTGTGCGTCCTGAAAAAGTTTCATATGTCTTGCTGGTGAGTCACAATCCTGTTTACAGAGATGTACAGATTGATTATGAATGTTTAGCTCAACTTCCCTTAGAAGGCATTCCAGCTGATCCCTCAAAAGTAAGGTGCGAAAAAGGAAGCGGAAGCGAAGAATTAGATCCAGACAGAGAGTCCACTTGATATTGATGACTTGCCAAACAACAAAGACACAGAGCTGAGTAGTATGTTGTTAAATCCTGTGAAATCCAAGCAACAGAAAGAAATCATAAAAGATGAAATATTGCAGCACAATAAGATTAAATGGCCTGAAAGGGGCTAAATACCTGTTAGTGAATTTAAAGTTGAATTCTTAGCAACAATGGCTTTCCCAACCCTCTTTCCTGATAGCAAAGGAGATCCCACTAACTCGGGAACAAAACGTGATGTTACTTTTGGTGAAAAAATTAATTTTAAGCACCTTATAAAATTTGGTGAAAAGAAAGATGAGAAATGGCATTATAGGTTTGCAGCACACCCTAGATTTGCTTATTGGGCATTCAACATGCTTCAGAGACATAGAATGCTTAGCCAAGGAAGTATATTTCTCAAGCAAAATCCAGGAGAATCTCGCATGTCTGTAGAAGAATTGAAGGAAATGCTTCATTCAAAGAGTTATTCAGGAGTTATGTCTAAGTTGATGCATAACAATGCAAAAAATGTCACAGGGAGTGATGCTTACTGGCATAAAGCAAAGGATGACTTGAAGGCAATAATCTCACAAGTCGGACCACCAACAGTATTCTTTACTCTGTCATGCGCAGAGTATCACTGGCCAGAGTTTCATCATCTTTTTGAAAATAAGACTATTGAGGAACTATCACCCACTGAAAGGCAATCTAATGTTCTCCAAAATCCTCACATTTTGGATTGGCTTTTCACTGAAAGAACAGATCGTTTTGTAAAATATTGGTTATATGATTCATTAGGTGCTTCCTGGCATTGGTACTGAAATGAATACGCTGTACAACATGGATCCATTCATTGCCACAGTGTTGCAAAGTTAAAGAATGATCCCGGATTATGCGAATTGACTGAGCTTGCTATGAAAGGCTTTCTAGCTGCAAAACTGAAAAATGAAAAGAATGAAACTCTCTCTAAGCAGGAGGTTGAAAACATCAATTGCCTTACAATGAAAGGCAAAGATGCTGAGCAGTTAGTTCGTCAGTATGTAGATTTTCTCTTATCCACGCGGAATCCACGCTCGCCTGATGAAGGCTGGTCCAAACCGAACTGTCATCCATGCCAAACTTCATATCTCTCTTTACAAAGTAATGATCTGGAAAGAGACTATGTGGATTTACTGAATTCAGTTCAAAGACATACTACTTGCAGTTCAAAATATTGCCTACGACAAAATGACTGACTCTATACCTCTTTGTTATTCCATTGATGTTGTCATTTTAATTAATATCATTATTTTCAGGTTTCCACTTGTATAAAAATATTATAACTTTCTGAGGTGATTCTCACTGTGGTGCTTATTTTATGTGTAACTGAAAGATGGGCTTATTTGTAAACTGAGTTGCTAACACGTTATTGTTACTTTAAAAAATTACAGTTCATGATGTCAGCAAGAAAGCAGTCTAGGGGTAAGTTGTAAAATTTTATTCAAGTTGATGTTCCCTATGAAAGAGCTTATATGTTTGATATGATGGGAAAGTGGGGGCAAAGATGGAAAACCTTTTTTAGCTCAAGACACTTGACAAATGTTCAAGCAAACTATGCTAAGATAGCATAGCATGTGTTATTGTGTTAACTATAATGATGATAGTAGGGTTATTGTTGCTGTCACTTTAAGCGCATTGATGATCATGTATCCTGAATTTGTTTGCTTTTCTTTCGTTTAGTAAACAAGTATGGGTTCGTCTGATGTCTCTTTACGAGAACTGAAAGAAATGGCGCCCAATCAGAAAGTTAACGTCCATGCAACTCTGTCAATGGGAGCCCAGGAGCCAAACAAGATAGAAACCAAATCCAGTCAAGCTTTATCTGTCAAAGAAGACTGCATATTGGAAGACGAAACGAGCACAATGAACTCCACATATGGGAACCGTTATTTACACAACTGAAAAGCAACAAGGCCTATTACTTTCAAAACCTCACACTACGGTATTATCAAGGATCAAAATTCCTTAGCACCAACAGGAATACGACTTACAGTGAGGAAACCACAACTCTCAAAAAATTAGTGGGCCCAGAAATATTGACAAATCCAGAAAGAGAGATCATTGCAAGTCAACTAAAATATGTTGCCAGTTTAAGCATTTTTATTGCATGCCAACTTTGCAAAAAACGAATTGGGGATGAGTCGGGCGAGTCAGTGAGATGCCAAAACTGCAAAGTGCGACAAAGGATCATCAACTGCAGGCGGAAAGGCTCTGTCAAGCTGTGTATTCAACACAATGAATCGGAGTTGTGGCTCACTGCATTTACAAATGAAATCGAAAACCTCCTGAAGAATACAACAGCAAGTATGAGCAGCACCATAGATGAAATAGAAGATGCCCTTATCAGCCTAAAGGATGTCAAATTGATATACAACTCCCAACGGAACATTGTCAAAGAAGTACTAAACTTGTAATTTCCACAGGAAGTACTGTGGTACTAAACAAATCAACCATTTTGTGGACAAAGTTAAAGAATTTTAAAAAAATGACGTGTGAACTATAGTGAAACAAAGTGGAAAAGAAACTGTTATTTAAGTTCGTGAACAGACCAATACAATCAAAGCGTTCATAGTTTTGTTACCTACATTTTTTGCTATCTATAAGAACGTTATAAAACTTTGATATTTATTACTGAGACATGCTACGAATTTAAAAAAATTTGTTTGTATAAATTCAATTGTGGTATTTGTTGTTTCATACCATGAAAGAAAACAACCAACAACAGAGAAACGCAAAGATAAATGAAAAACGTAATGGCGTCATTACGTTGCCATGGCGACTCCGATTGCAATAAAACCCAGATCATAAGAAATTTTCATCTTTATATAATACAGTTGTGGTAACCTTTTTTCCATATCTTTACTCATGCCGACGTAGTTAATGCTCAAAGTTGGGAGGTGTCAACTCCAAAAAGTCCAGTCGAGCCAAATTAGATATATACCTAAATATATAACTCTTATTTAATAAAGTGCAATAAACAGCAAGAAAAGTATTGTGTTTCCAGAGAAAAGATAGTATATCTAATATATGGATAAACAATCTGAATTTCTATCATTTCCTACAATTTACTGAGGGAAAACCGGAATTGATAACCATTTGATTATTTTCTAAACAACATTCCCACGAGTTGACGATAGTCTTTCTTTGATTAAATAAAATTCTCGCAGGAAAGGCGGAAAAAGAGAGAGAGAGAGAGAGAGCTTGATAGAAATGTTCTTTCTACGGGGGGTTCTCAGTGTCAAAATTCAGTTTTCCTGTTCCGTTGTGCTGTTTTGCTATCTTCATATTCTGTTTTACCATTCCTTCACTTTGTTAGTGAGGGAAATGGTAAAACAGAAGATGAAGATAACAAAACAGAACAACAGAACAGGAAAACTGAATTTTGATCCTGATAACCCCCGATAGGTTTCGTTAGGGACTGTGCAATAACTACCTGGAGGAGGGGTTGGGAAATGGGTGAAATATGCCCCAAAACTAAGTAATACCCCCCTCTCATTAAGCAAAAAGTAATTTCAACCCCTCCTCACACAATAATAATATTAACGCTACCCCCCTCCCTTGAAAAAAGTCTCCTACCATTGATTCCCTCACACCCAGTTTAGTTGTTGGATTTCTTCCTCCGGTACAAAAATCACTTCAAATGACTCTTAGACGTATGTCGAAGAGTCATCAGAATCACTGGACTCTGAGCTTGTGTCGTCTGAATTGGGAGATTCCTCATAGTACAGCATCTCTAGCACTAAGGTTCCCGCGTGCGTAGGTGAGAACTCGATCAATCAACTCAGCCTTGCTTCCACTTATCTTAAGACCTTTTTGCTTTAGATACATTTTCAGCAGCTTGTTGGTAAGCGCTTTTACATCTTTTACAAGTGTTATTTACCATACTTTAAATTTGTATTGCTATTAAAATTTCAACAGTTGGGTTTTTCTTTCTGCTAAATTTGATGCCATGTGTGCTAACATTGGCATCTTTCTTTTTCATTGAATAATGACATTATGGTGCTACTTTTGCAACTTTTAATTAAAGTTTCTTGTTTTATTAAATCCTAGTGCAAATAAAGTAGCACTGTTTTAACATATATTACAGAGGCATTCCTTTCCTACTGCATGACAGATAGGAAAACAACAGTTGATAGATCAGAACACCTTAGAGTTGATAAATTTGTCAGTTTTTATTCCAATGTTAGTATTTATTTTTTGAACTCTAATAATTCTTCCACTACTTTTCCAGTTGGCAAAAGGGAATGAAAAAGTAATGCCCCCCCTTTATGTATCAAATTTTCCTTCCAACCCCCTCTCTCTTGTTATCATTTTCTTCTACGCCCCCCCCCCTAGTTTTCTAACCACCCCCCCCCCCTCCAGGTAATTATTGCACAGTCCCTTATCAGAAACCGCAAACCTTCCAAAAGATACGGGCATGGATAATAGATGTCTCCTGTATCCATGATACGGGGAAATTCTCCTCTCTACAAATGGCGGATCACTCGCGAAACTCGCGCGACTGAGGATTTTAGTGCTTTCTACTTCCTGTCTTTCAGACAGCTAATCAGATCGCCCGGGATTGTTCCAACGACCAATCAACGTTGCGCCAAAATCTGGCCACATCAGCACAGGCGTGAGAGACTTTGTGTCAGGCCCGATACATACGTACAGGGCTGAATAGTATACAAGATCAAATGCTGCGACTGCCAGTCCACTTACATAAGTGAAATCGGCAGAAACCTTAGCACGCGACTGTCCAAACTAAACGAGCGACCAGAAATGGTGACGTCAACAATCACGTTGCTGGACACCATTTACAGACGAAACATCACATCGACTGGGACTCTGTGACATGTATTACGTATTCTACAGACTACTATCAACGACTCACTTTAGAAAGCTGTTTACTAACTTAGAAGAAACGCCACTGAATCGTAGTCAACAGTTACCGGCACCGATCAAACGACTTATTGGTAGAATCAAGTAAACTAACTACGAGAGAACGACTGGACAACTGGCAATTTGACTAACAATAAACTACTGTTTAACTGTGACAATTGACGGATCGAAAGGCACCAATGACGAGTCTTCGTAGCCAATAACATCAAGGCTTAACTGATAGACGACCAATAACATCGCGACATAATAGACCAATTAGGCCAATAACCAGAGTTTATTACCATATCAACCGACGTGATAGAACTCACTTTGACTCTGAAGATGACTACCTCACAGGTTGTCGAAACGTAAGTCACTGTCAACAACAGTCCTATGCAGAACTACGTTCACCCAGACGAACATACTTAACCTAATTATGAAATGACTCCTGGGTTCAAACCTTTCACAGTTTTACACTTTAGTTGTTAATAAAAAATTGTTAAGATCATAATTATTATATAAGCGTTTACGGCTGCAGGTTTCTACTTTACTTCTTTCGATAATTAATGCTTTGACTTTGGTTTTGGTTCTCCAGTGCAAGTGCTTGCTTTAAACCCGTTGGCTCCAGCTGAAGTTCCTAGGATGTAATAAACTCCGTGTTCACGGTCTCTCGCTTTGAGCTATTAGGCCCCGTCCACAAGTATCCGGATATTTAAATATCCGGAACTTTTTCTTTCTAGATTCAAAAATTTCCACGTCCACACTTATCCGTATTCAAATCGAATTTGCCCGTCCACACGTATCCCACACGTATCCGAATTCACTCTAGTCCCCAGGACTCCTCTGGGAATATTGCAAAAAAGCATGCGTAGTAGACGGGTAAGTGAGAGAACCTGGGAACGAGGTTGCCATCTTGAATACAGTATTTAAGGTAAACTGAGAACTTAACTGGGCTCGATCTTGTTACGTCACCGGTGTTTCTCCTTAGGTTCCTAAATTTTCTCAGTCCTCTTCCTAAAAAAGTCCAGAGTTCCCATTGAAGAAATCCCGTAAAAAAGGGCAAAACATCCGAACAAGATTTTTTTTCTGTGGCGTAAGCGCTCCTCCCCTAAACCCGGGGACTTATATTTGAAACTGTCAATCTTCCCGCGCGTAACGTAATTTCCGGTAAAAATGCACTTCCGGTTCGCTCTTACAAACAATTCTTTTAGAAAAATGGCACAAGAAATAATCTTTAACAACCGGATAAAAAAAAATATCCGAAACTAGCGTCCGCACGATTCCGGATTAATAGCGTATTCAAAAATTTCTATTCTGGAGAGCGGATTCAAAAACATCCGGATACGTGTGGACAGGGCCTTGGTAATAAAGTAAGGAAAAAATAATCAGGCGCCCAGCAAGGGTAGAGCTAGCGCTTGCCAAACTTGCCCCGAACGGTGTTATTCCCGTGCATATGTATAATGCATAATTTATAAAAAAGACAAAAGGACAATTTCCCCTGAGAACAAAACACCAGGCTAAAGATTTCTATGCAGTTCAGAAGCTTCCATATAAGGAATACTAAGCACCAGCTCTTCCTCGGTAAAAAAAATCATGGCGGACAGTAGGACAGTTTAGATCAGACTCGAATGTCTGGAGCTTTCGGAGAAGAAACTACAGAATTTTAGCCATCGGGGCCGAGTTGTTCAAAGCTTGGTTAAGATAACCCAGGATTAGTGCAAGATTTGAATTAAGATTTGAAAGCTTAAAAAGCATTTCAGTTTTAATTTATTTTGTCTACAAGTTGATGATTGGAAGCTCTAAAAATATCAGAGAAAATTATCCGAGAAAAAGCTTTAATGAAAAAGAAACCTGGGTTAAATTTAACCCCGGGTTAAGCGCTAATCGGCCTTCGAACAACTGGGCCCAGGGTTTCAGTGCAAATTAGGTATCAACAATGTCAGGGGTCAACAAAAATTCCCCTCCATTACCGACGTCATGGAACTGTGCTTCCTTCGATTACCCAGCGATATCGGCAAGGTTCGCCTCATGGCGGTCTATAAAACCTCTTCATCCCGGAAAAGGACAGGTAACGTTTTATTTATTAAACGATTGAAACCTAGCTATGACCGATTTGAGGCCCGGGCAAACAGCGATCTTCACACGCAACGAATCCAATGAGCGAGAGCAATAGATTTTGCGCATTAGTATTTGGTTCCTTTCTTCAAACGATTGAAGTTCGATGTTTGAGCCGCGCCTAAAAAAGTCATATATCTCCTATATATACCTGAGTTAATTTTGGTGGCCAGGGATCTTATCCAGCTCTAGTAGGATGAGATATATCGATCTTTAAATTACTGATTATTATTTAATATCACTCAGTCAAAGGTTACCAGTTTTATAGCAGCATGAAAATCTCTTAAAGCGCTCTTCAGCTGCTCTGAGAGATACAGTATTTATTTGGACAGCGAGCGGTATAAATAGCATGAGTAAAAGTAAACAAGCCCCAAATTAAAATAAATTAACACACCTCTCACCGTCTCTTACGCAATGGATTAGAAGCCATCCAAGGAAGAATTTTCTTTCAGCAAATCGTCTGGATAACTTATCGCGCATTAATTGTCTCGAAATCTGCTGTTATCCCATCTAATCAATTCGTCATTTCAGTATGAGTCAAAATACATCAATTACCACCACCTTTACCAATACCTCACCGTCATCTACATGAATTTCGCCTCCAGAACAAAGGAAATTGCGATCTACAGCGCTATCGTGATTGAAGCTGTCTGTAATTGTCGGGGGAAACGTGTTCACAATTGTTCCCTCCACACTGCAGAAGAAGCTCCGCAAGAAAAGTTTGTCTCTGGTTATGAACATGGCATTCGCTGATATGATGCTAGGAGCGGATTCATTACCTTTGTACAATTACTTGCGAGTCGGTTTTCGGCCACCACTATGGAGACAAGATGCTCTGGAACCGCTGGAGAATTTTTTTCCTTTGGTTTGATCTCATTTTCTTGCAGGCCTCCTTAATTTCTGCAGTGTTTATATCTTGTGAAAGATTTTACGGTACACCATCTACTGGCCACTAAAACATCTAACACTGTCGACAAGAGCATACGCCATTGTCATTATTTTAATTTGGACTCTGCTTTTCTTGTTAGCGTATTCTTCAAACTAGTTAGAGACTTCCTTTCAACAAAAACAGGTGTTTACATAATGACAATACTAATTTCGATTTTTCGGCCACCACTATGGAGGAAAAATGCGCCAAGCGATGCTATTCATCAGCAAAACAGAGGCTGCCAAATCTCGACGCCTGACAAACACCATGCTTTTTGTGTCTGCTGCTGCTGTGTTCTCGTGGCTTCCTGACACGCCATTATTCTAAACTTGACGGCGGCAAATATGGTCTCTGTACCTGTAACAACTTTTCTTTATCTTACATTCCTACCTATTTCAACTCCTTTGTTTACATAAAACCTGTATTATACAAGTTTTAATGGACATCCGAACGGCTCAGTCAAACTACCGACGTTGAACCTTCTTTAAAAAATGGTAACAATAAAATAACAATACAAAAAATACAGTTGAAAATAAGGTTCTTTCGTGTGCTTGCCGAATGGCAGGTCATTTATCCATCTGAAATAACATTTCATTTATTACTTGTAAATCTTTCCCAAAGCGTTGCACCTGTTCCTACTGATAAAGTTGCAGAATGGGTCAGCAGCAGGCGTGCATAAAAAGCAGGATTGAAGTTAAACAAAAGCTTTCACAGTAGATCCTCTTCAAAAAGCCGCTTATCAGATACATTCCGCGCTGACCCTTGCAAGTCTTTTACATTAGACTTTTCTTCAAAATCTTAACGTCTGGGTCATTAATAAATTGCTACCAATGACGACAACTGATTCAATTCGCACTAAAATGAAAAGTATGTCAACTATCGTGAGATCCAACAACAGCAACAACTTCAGCTCACTTTCATCACCGGCGCATATAGATTTCCCGTCTCGAGCGGACGAAATAGTAGTTTGCAGCCCTCTTTTGTTTGAAGCTCTCTTCATTGTCACGGGGAACTTGGTCACAAATGTTTTCTTCGCACTAGAGAAGGAGCTCCGAAAGCGGAAAAGCTTGTTTCTGGTTATAAACATGCGTTCGCGGATGTAATGTTAGGAGCTGTATCCGTTCCTTTGTTGTTTACTTAAATGTCGGTTTTCAGCTATGGAGTTTGGACTTCTTTTACCTTCACTTCGATATCATTTTCTTGCAGGCTCCGTTAATTTCCGCAGTTTTTATATCTTGTGAAAGATTTTACGCCGTCTATCGGCCACTAAAACACCGTACATTGTCAGCAAGGGCATACGCCATTGTCATAAGTGTAATCTGGACACTTGCTATTGTTGCCAGCGCGATGTACTTTATTCTTGCAAACTTAAATTTCAGTCATAGCAGCTTATTATCTTTCTGCAATATTATTTTCGATTTTTTTATTCATCATATGTGTCTGTAACTTTTGTATTTGGAGAAAATGTAAAATGAGAACCATCTCCTCTCACCAACAAAACAGAACCGCCCAAAACCAACGCTTGACAAGAACATTGCTGTTCGTATAATCTGCTGCAGCTGTTTTGGCGTGGCTTCCGTATGTAATTGTCGAATATTTATTGAATGTTCACAAGATCTTTCCAGCCTGGCAGGTTTACTACACCAGAATCTTTCTTCAATATTCTAACTCTTTTGCCAATCCAATAATCTACGCTTTAAAATACCTGAATTTCGACAATCATCGATTATGTGGTGTTTTACAAGTCGTGCTATAAATGGGGTGGACACCACAAACAAAAAGGGACGAACAGACACTGTTGCTTTTGATTTATCTAAGGTGAAACAGCTAAGATCATTAACCGATCCTAGTGACACACAGCAGAAATTTGAACATGAATTTATGGACGCCAATTGTGATCAGAAGTTGCAACACTATATACTGCACTATACGAAGCTCAACACACTTTTAATTGCTAAAAAATTGTAAAAATTATATATAAGCGTTTACGGCTTCAGGTTTGTACTTTACTTCTTTCATAATTTTTTTAAACTGCTTTGGCTTTGGTTTTGGTTCGTTCTCGAAATTTCTTAGGATGTCAAACCGTGTTCACCGGTCTCTCGCTTCGAAATATTAGCAATAAGGTAACGAACAAATAAACAGGCACCCAGCATGTGAAAGATTTTTCGCCGTCTATTGGCCGCTGAGGCACCTAACAACGTCAACGAGAGCATACACTATTGTTATAATTATCATCTGGACACTAGCTGCTACTACTACCGCAGTCTACCTCCTCACTGCAAATTTAATTTCCAACAAGGCGGGTTATTATGTTTCTACATTATTATTTTCAATCTTTATCTTCATCCTACGTGGCTGTAACATTGGTATTTGGAGAAAGTTTCACCAGAGAGACGACGCTTTTCTACAACACAACAGTCTCACAAAACCAACGCCTAACAAAAACTTTACTTTTTGTATCTGCCGCCGCTGTGTTTTGCTGGCTTCCATATGTAATTGTCGACTGCTTAAGGTGGCTCGATATAGTTTTTCAAGGTCAATACCTCCCAAGTTTGAGCGTAAACTGGGTCGCCATAAACAAGGATTTGGAAAAATTGACACCACAGTTGTATTAGATAAATATGAAAATTGGTTATGATCAAGGTTGCAATGACATCGGAGTTGTCATAGCAACGAAATGACGCCATTACCTATTTTACTTGCAACAGTATTTCTCGGCACTGGAAACTGTTCTTCCAAAATCGTTTACTGGAGCCTTTACCTACAATAGCTGCCTCGATGTTCGAGACGTTTAAGCGAAATCTGTAAGAGCGTTATCGAGATATTTTGGGATGAAGTTTTTCTGGTTAGAAATACGGTAAAAAATTGACAATCTTGATGTTCGACTGTTATCTGTACTAAACGAAGCCCTTTTGACATGCAATTTCACCTCATAGTAATTTCAATCTTTTTAAAAACGTATGTGAAAGATCATGGAGATACCTCCAGCCGATTGCTAGAAAGGAGGATTTGATTAGTATGTATCAAGGCACTCTTGTTAGCAGTGATGTAAACATTTCGGTCTACTTTAACAAATTAGCGAATAATTTTTAAACCACTCGATAAATTTTTTAGAAAATTTAAGAATCTTGAGATTAACTCTCCTTTTATATGACCTCTTAGTTTCAAGATTATTGATATATTGTAAGGCAGTAAAATAAGGGCTTGAATTCGTTAACATTTTGTCTGAAATTTTGTGTTTACAAGTGAGAGCCTCTCATTATTCAGGGTATTGTCTCCCAGTTTCATATTTTCGTGCATAACAATAGCTAGCAGTTTTGCATATGTCAAATGCATTGTTAGTTACTGCTGTTCACGTGAAAATGAAACTTTGAGACAATACCCCCGAATAACAAAAGGCTCTCACTTGTAAAGACAAAATTTCTGACAAAATATTAGCGACTTGTAGCCCTTATTTTACTAGCTTACAATACATCAATAATCTTGAAACTAAGAGGTCAAATAAAAGGACGATTTATCTCAACACTCTTAAATTTTTTAGAAAATTTATCGAGCGGTTTAAAAATTATTCGCTAATTTGTTAAAGTAGACCGAAATGTTTACAATACGGCTAACAAGAGCGCCACGATACGTACTAATCAAATCCTTCTTTCTAGCAATCGGCTGGAGGTATCTCCATGATCTTTCACATACGTTTTTAAAAAGATTGAAATTACTATGAGGTGAAATTGCATGTCAAAAGGGCTTCGTTTAGTACAGATAACAGTCGAACATCAAGATTGTCAATTTTTTACCGTAATTCTAACCAGAAAAACTTCATCCCAAAATATCTCGATAACGCTCTTACAGATTTTGCTTAAACTTCACGAACATCGAGGCAGCTATTGTAGGTAAAGGCTCCGGTAAACGATTTTGGAAGAACAGTTTCCAGTGCCGAGAAATACTGTTGCAAGTAAAATAGGTAATGGCGTCATTTCGTTGCTATGACAACTCGGATGTCATTGTAACCCTGATCATAACAAATTTTCATCTTTATCTAATACAACTGTGGTGTTAATTTTTCCAAATCTTTGTTTATGGCGACGTAGTTTATGCTCAAAATTGGGGGGTACTGAGCCTGAAAAACTGTATCGAGCCACCTTTTAACTGAGGTACTCGAAGTCCCTGTACCTAGAAAGGTTTATTATGCCGTAATCATGCTAAATTATTTCAAATCTAAATCCATATCTTAGTTCTTCAGTAAATGTAATGTACATCAACATTTTAGACGTTTTCACAAACAGAACAATTTTGTGCGTTTCTAGTGCGCGGACAAATTAGCCTTAGCTTTGACCTGAATCTTCTAAGAAACCTTCCTGTTCATCAGTAAATTGATCGATTTTAACTCCACCCACCGCCACTTACCCCCAGGTCACACTCGCGCTAGAATCGTTTGACCGACCAAACTTGGCATTGCTTGCTTTCTTAATAACGAAGGTGGAGTTGCTTAAACTTCAAAAGAACCGCAAAAGAACCTTTAACCTTCAAAAGAACCGAGTGCTCTTGATCTGAGCTAGATAAACAATTGACCAATCAGGACAAGCACTGTTTGGCCGCTTGATCTTTCCTTTATTTTGGCGCATTAACAAGCGCTCGAGGACTCCGTCTTCGTTTCTCAAGGACTTCGTCAACTCCATCTCCCATTCCGTTTAGCGAGGTGCCGAGACAGTTTACAAATTTATTTACCGGAACCCCGGGGGGGGGGGGGTACTGCCGTATGTGCCACTGTGAAGGGTATGGTTTTCAAGCAGTTTACTCTAGGATAGGGTATATAAATCAGAGCGTTTGGCTCTAGAATAGGGTATCATTTTTCAGGAAACTGATCAGTTGGTTGAAGTTTTTATCTAGACTAGGTACACAGCAGCTACACTAGGATAGGGGGATTTGGGGAGTTTACTCTAGTATAGGGTAGCAAAATTCAGCTGAACTAGCTCTGGTAAAGGTTAAGGGTTCCAGGTTGCCAGCGGCACATCCCCACCCAGAAATTCCTAAAGTACCCCCCGGGACCGGAACGAGTTATCCACCACCTTTGGCGCCTCATGTTGTATTTTCAAGACTATATGCCGATGGTTTTACACCAAACCTTTCTGGTGATTCAGCTGCAGCAAGTGTTCCATACGCAGACCAAAGAGTGTTTCAGGAGACGACATTAGTTCGCTTTCTTCGTAGTAAAGCCCATCTTCTTTGCTCGCGTGCGCGTAAAGTGCGAAAAAAGGTAAAGAAAAACGGGAGCATTGAGGCAAGCTGTTGTTCTTTCAATGTGACCAGATCCCGCTTGCTCGATCTCTAGCACGTGCTTAGGTTTGCGGGTCAGACGTCACAAGCAAGCATGCTTCAGAGTTATTTCAAGCGCGAGTGTGACCGAGTGGGTAATAACCTGATTATTTTTCTTGGAATTTCAGTTTTAATTCTTTGATGCTTGGCGGATGCGTCTTATTGCGGTGCATTACGCTTGGAAGTTAAGCTCATACGAGATAGAACTGTTAAGCCTTTTGGTCTCAGAATTTTCCCAAATAACTTCGTGTGTCGCAAAAACCGGCTAGTAGGTTATTCAAAATGGCCTCTGGCAAAGCCAAAGGTGTCGATGAAATGACCTTCATGGAGCTGTGCGAAATGATGAAGGCTCTTGGTTTATCGGACGAAGGGGTGATGGAATTGAAGGACGCTAGGTCCCTAATAAAAACCACAATAAAGGCAGAAAAGACGACGAACTGGTCACCAGGAAAGGTACGGTATTTTGTGGTAAAATTTCAGAACGAACGAATCTTAGCTCGGGTATTCAATTGCTTGCATGAACGTAACGCTATTTAGTGATCACTATCTCGCATGAGGCCATGCGAGGTTATAAGGCGAAAATAAGTTTAGAATTTTTTCGTTAATTTCATTCTTAGGATTCGTGTACTAACCCTCAAGATGGACGGCTTTTTTCCCTTTTGATGTGTAAGAAAAGAAAGGCTATGGATTTTTGCCCTGTACCGAGGCAATCGAAACATCATAGGCACAAATTAACAATATGTATACTCATCATGACTCTTCTAGTGTTATTTGAAGAATAATTCTCGACTAGGATGTACTTTTTCATGAAAAAAGTTCTCTACACGTTTTTATTATCATGTAATAAACAAGAAATGTGAAAGCGAAAGTCTTCCGCTTCCTAGTCGATCGGTTCCATCACACTGATCACGTTGCAAAGCTTCGATGTCAACCGAAGATCACCCAAATATCTGACCGCTGCACTTCGCCGTGCCGGATTATTCCGATCTGACAGAACTATAACAGTGCGAAGTAACGAACAAAAGTCAACTATTCGTTTGGATTTTCATTCTTAGCGTTTGAGCTTAGGAAGATAGTCCGAGGGTCTACGAGGCTGACAATTTAATAATCGCCACTCCGCACGTTTGAAGAAAGCGGTTCCTATTTTGTCTGTAAGAGATACCAAATACTAGTCGAGATACTAAAGGTAAGACGGTTGGTCAAAGCCACGTAAACCCGGAGAATCACGCAGTCTGTCAGTTAATGCATTCTTTTATATATCTGTTATCATTTCGACATTAATAATAGATATGATAGTGTGAATCAGAACTATAGTTCATCCCTCCCCCTCCCCTTTATTAAATCGATATTTCCGAGAATCGCTTTGTCATGAGTATTGGCTTCTATTCTTAACAACGGAAGTTTGAGGACTGTGAATATCTCAGTCTATTAGTTTTTTAGCAATAACAATGGTTTGTAGCAAAGTGAAAGATATCGACGATTTCGAGACCCGTGCTGGAAACTGTAAGGACTGGACGACATGAAAGGCCTAAATACAAGAATTCGGGGTAAAGACAAAAACACGTCGATTAAGCTGGTCGGCAAGAGAGGTACGAAACTAACTGAACCAGGAGCCGATTGTATCGAGCGAGTTGATACTTGCAAAACTACTTGCCCTGTATTGATCTTACATTCGATCGAGATAACTTGAACCTCTTTGGCTGACCTTTAATTCACGCTTCGAAAAATGAAAATAACCAAATAAAAATTCTTTAAGTTTACCCATCAATGCGTTATACACAGTGGAGTATTCCAGTGTTGAGAAAGTGATTCATTTAAGCAAACTTCATCCAGTGTTGTTTATTGGTGCATGACCGCAAAGCATTTTTAGGTAAGTTTCGGGTGGATATTATTCGTCCCAGCACAAATACTATAGATGAACACCAGTTTAGAAATATTTTGCCCTCTAAAGTGGTTAACTGGAGAAAAAAATCTTAGGCGAACCCATGGCCAAAACACCTTTTTTTATACACCTTGTTTTTTTTTTGCCTTTTGTTTTTTTCTCCCGGTTTTACTACACGGTAATTTTTAGGGAGTTATTATAACTCCAAAAATGGAGTAAAAATTTTAGGTACAGGATAACCCCATTTGTGGGGTTATTTTAACTCCTAATTTAACTCCGAATTTGGGGTCATTTTTACTCCTGAAAAAGAGTTCTTTTTACTCCCAGTCTGGAGTTCAAATTACTCCGAAATGGGGTTACTTGTACTCCTTACATGGGTTGTTTTTACTCTTTTTGGAGTTAATTTAACTCTGAAAGTGGAGTAAAAATTTTAGGTACAGGATAACTCCTTTTTGGGGGTTATTTTAACTCCTCAATATCTGGGGTCACTTTTACTCCTGAAAAAGAGTTCTTTAAACTCCTTTTTGGAGTTAAAATAACTCCACGAAAAATAACTCCACTGTCATGAGTTAAATTAGCCCCACTAGAGGAGTTATTATAACTCCCTGAAAATTACAGTGTATAGTTTTCACTAAGACTTTAATTGCCCCCATTATAACAAAAACAATCCAAATCAGTATTTTATTTCATCTGAAAAATACTGTACAGTGAAACATGCACGTGTCACTCATTATTGTGTCAGGTTAGTGACACAGAGGAGAGGCACAGATAAAAACCAGAATTGTTCAGGCTAAGATTTTGAAAGAACCTGATGAAGTACAAACGTTAAAACAGATCGCTATGGAGTTCTTAAAGTCAACTAATCATTCTAATGGCAAAAAAGTTTCTATTGGCCTAAATTGCAGTCATTTAGACATAACAACATGCATATTTTGTACAAACATTTAAAACCACCAACATTCTTCCAAAAAGTCCTTTTTCCTTAAGAAAATAAGAACCTCGAATGTTTGAGAACCTAAACAGCTTAATTTCCAAGAAACAGAAAATTTATAAGAGCCTTTTGAGGCTAACTTCGAAAAGCACCTATTACTTAGTTTTTACTGTATACTACTAAATGTAAGAACAGGGGGGGGGGGGGAAGAAGAGTTAGGGTTAGGGTTAAGGTTAAGGTTGGGGTTAGGGTTAGGTTAGGGTAAGGACTAGAGATAGGGTTAGGGTTAGAAATCAGATTGGGTCGAGGTTGGGGTTAGGGTTAGGAATAGGTTAGGGTTAGGTTGGAGGGTTAGGGTTAGACGAGCAGTCTCAACTGATTTCAATGGTCATAACACATGAGTTGATCGACTGAGTTAAACGTTCGCCTTGTCAGGAAAAGGGTGTTACGTTAAGCTGGTTAGGGTGATAGCTAAAGTTGAGCTAAGGCTTAGGGTTAAATAAGGATAAAGGTTACAAACAAGAAGTACGGTTTGTTGAGGGTTAACGTTTGAGGGACTTCTGGGCAGGATACCAAATTACGTTGCGTTACATATCAATTACATCGCCCTACTGAGCGTAGGATTGAATTTCAAAAGACGGGTCAGGAGGTGAGAAATACAGAGATGTAGTTTCAATATAGGCGATTTTCGAAGACTAATCACTGGTCAAGCAAGTAGTTTTGAATTAACGTTATCTTACAAGACGTTTCGCTTCGCTTTCTTCGTGTTTGACCACAGCAGAGCACAGATAATATAAACATTTCAGAGAGTAAATATTCCAGCTCCGAGGGGGCGGGTAAAACCAACGGCCACATCTGAAAGAAAAGGACAAAAGGAAAACCTTGTTTAAAGAAAATTCCTCAACACGTGTTTAAAAAGTAATATATCTCTTCTACATCATTTTCCCTAGATCAGTTTCATCCTGCAATGGTTTTATAATCGCTGTACCGGTGCATAAAGCAGATTAAAAACATTGTACCGAACATTCCGGAGAACCAAGCATAAATGGCGCTCGTCGTCGCGACGGTGCTAATAAAATAGCACGGGAACTTTTACATGCTTTGAGGAAAAATAGTTACTCTTCCGCGATCCGATCAGCATTTAGCTTGCAATGCCAACAATCAATTGAAAATGAACGACAATTCAGCCTGTGCAGTAGGACGGCGGCTCTTTTTAAACACAGTAAATTTCCAGAGTCGCTCGACATGACCAAAATTAAACCTTCGCTATACGAAACCACAGACTTTGATTTGAACTACACTTTCACGACTTTGTAACATAACCTTTCCTGGCAAAAAGCCTGCTACTCACCGTTGTTGCTCGCTTATTCAAAGATCAGCACCTCCGTCGTAGAAACTGAAACACAACAACAGAACAGTCTCACTGTAATGGTCAAATATTAAACATGTTTTTAACCTTTCTCGCAGTGCATTCTGGGAAATCCGTGTTCAACTCGTGCGGGACACATTACATCCTGGCAATAACAACACAATTTAAAAGTCTCCAGCAAGGCAAAAATCACAGCCAAAAACTTCGTTGGCCCTCTTTTCTTATGTCCAAACTAACCAATTTGCCCCTTATTGCCTGCTGGAGACTTCTTCACGATGTGCAGAGCAAGGCAGAGACGTTATACACCATCCACCGGATGGTCTCTCGGATTGTGCCCGAAGCTCGGTTCTTTGAGCAACGAGCGCCCATTTAAGCCTTCCCGGACTTAATGATGTCCCAGGCACTTTGCAAACCGTGGAAATAGAATTTCTTGCCAAACTCGGCTCATATTAGTCCCCGTTTCGCACACGCTCCGATCAAAACCTCTCCACTCACGAAGAGAGCCGTTGAAAGGAGAAAGATACCGCGCAAACTCGAACCTTTCAAAACTAGAACCGGTTCCCCTCGGACAAAAAAAAACCGGAAGTCCTTCCTAACGCAAGTGAAAAGAAAACAAGAAATAAAATAAATAATAAACTTACTTCTGTTGACTTCCACGCTGCTCCTCCCTGGTTTTCTTTAATGAAAAATATCTATGATAAAAAATGGCATTTCATAAAATTAATTTACATACATAATATACACGGTAATTTTTAGGGAGTTATTATAACTCCAAAAATGGAGTAAAAATTTTAGGTACAGGATAACCCCATTTGTGGGGTTATTTTAACTCCTAATTTAACTCCGAATTTGGGGTCATTTTTACTCCTGAAAAAGAGTTCTTTTTACTCCCAGTCTGGAGTTCAAATTACTCCGAAATGGGGTTACTTGTACTCCTTACATGGGTTGTTTTTACTCTTTTTGGAGTTAATTTAACTCTGAAAGTGGAGTAAAAATTTTAGGTACAGGATAACTCCTTTTTGGGGGTTATTTTAACTCCTCAATATCTGGGGTCACTTTTACTCCTGAAAAAGAGTTCTTTAAACTCCTTTTTGGAGTTAAAATAACTCCACGAAAAATAACTCCACTGTCATGAGTTAAATTAGCCCCACTAGAGGAGTTATTATAACTCCCTGAAAATTACAGTGTATAACCTTTCTACATTTTACGTTGATAGATAGTCGGCCATAAGGCATGTTTGCGCACTTCAAATACGTGGAGCAACAACTGATTTTGATATTTGTAACGCCCAGTCTTTCGATCTCTTCAGAAACAATTACAGTTTTTCGAAAGGTGACTGGAAGTATTTGATGATAATTAGTTGATAAAGTAGTTTGTTCTTTTTAGGATGCAAAATTCTTACAGTTAAGATTACTGCCCGAAAGTTTAGCTGCTAGGGATACAGGGGATTTCTAGTACTCCCGTGAAGACACTCGCCTCGCGCGTTTCCTATTTATACATTTTTGCCTTTCTCTCTCGTTTTGAACTCGATATTTAAGGCTCTTCTACGCTCGTAAACTCTCCCTGTCTTTTTTGTGCGTCAACGTTCACACTGCAACTTCAGTCAAAGTGTTGGAATTCTTCGAAGAAAATGGGTGGATTCTTAGCGCCCCAAGGTGGGTGTGGGAACGATGTAAGCATTCGAGATGACAATCCACAGTTTGGCCATTCTCTTTATATTTTGTTTTTAGTAAGTTGGATTGTATGGCTCTTGATTGTAGTTAAGAACATGGAAAGCAGGAAAAGCGACAACTGGCGAAAATAAGTCTGCGTTCATAAGCTAGTATGAACGCTGAAGACCTTTTTTCTGTACATTCCTCAGGCCTTCACCATTGTATCAAAAGCTAAAGAGGACTATGACAGGAAAAGAGACAAGCTTTTGGAATATTACACCAAGTCCGAGGCGATACTGACTGAAGCGTGCAAGGGATTGCCTGTATTGCAGAAATTCATCGACAACTTTGAAAAGCGCATTGAACATCTAAAGCAAAAGGAATATTTCCTGTTTGTCACAGGTACCACTAATTTACGTTTTACTGCATGAAACTAGTTTTGCTGGAGTTAACCTATGTAGATTAGTAAATTTGTAATCAGATTAATTTTTTAAGTGCGATAACTCTCATAGTCTTTGGACCCCTAAAATTTCGTACGAAATAGGTCGATAAGGAAAATTACGTCACTTCCATTTGGCCCACAGGAAGTTAATAGATTTAGCCAATTATGTGCCTAGTTCCAGCCCCCACCGTGTTTTGATCTTCACGCAAAGATTTTTGAAAAACTTGAAAATATGGCCATCTGATGCGGCAATGATTTGTGGCGGCGTTTGCGAAGAACGAAGCCTTATTCAACCAAATACAAGCCAAGCAAATTATTTTGAAGGATTCTAGAGGATAACAACCCAAAAAACCCGCGAAAATCAAGGTAAGAATCTCTGTGGGGAATGCGCCGTCGTCGGCTCTCTGGCACACAATTCTCTTAAAACGCAGTGAATTCCGTCCCGCTGAGCTCAATTTTGCCCTCAAAGCCTTGCTTATTTTGATGAATTCTATCAGTAAATCCATGTTTTCTTGTTTTAAACTCGATATTTCGCCAAGAAACTAAAATATAAAGCGTCTTTCGAAGGGCAACATCCACCATGTGTCGAGTGCCATTATGCTAATTAGCTCTGACGTCATTGCATAATGTGACAGCGTCAGAAAATAAATTTCTAGGAAATCACTAGTCGCAATATATTTTCAACCGATTTTTTGAGCTGTTTTGCTTAGATATTGAAGAAAAAAAATCGTTTTGACTGCATTACACAAAATAGACAACTCTCCTGGCAAAGTTACATTCTTTAATAAAGTTTTAAAATAATTATGCAGAAATATGCCTTGTAATTTTTTTTTGCGAAATATTATGGGTTTCCTGAGACCGAAATATTTTTTTCTGAAAGTTTAATTTTTGCCCTTTCTAATGAGGTATATATAGCTCTATGAAACTGTAAATAACAGCAGAGATATAATTTTTTAAAGTTACATGGTCAAAAATACTTAAAATAAGTTCCGAAGACAATTGCAATAAGGCAAGCATTCAAAATATGAGGGAAAGAGTGAATGTATAATATGTTGTTTTTAGTAATAGTCAATGGTGTCATTCTAAAAGTCAACTCGTGTGGTTGATTACTCAATATATTGTTTAAATCGAGCCCGTCAAAGTCAATACTTCCTGCCCCACCATCAATTCCATGTAAGTTCAACCGTAGAAAAAATTTGCAAAGGAAATTTCACGCCCTATTTTTTTGTTTTGTTTGTTTGTTTTTTGTTTTTTCGAGTATGCACACATGCATGTAACTTCTGGTGGGGTGTTTTTAGCGGAGCCCCATGGTTAAGAAAATTTGGTAATCTATCCATCCGAGAAAATTTGTTATGACGTCAGCGTACGACCGAACGCTGACCGTACAGACTCTGGGGGAGGGGGAGGGGGAGGGGAGTCAGGAGTCAGCCTGTCTGAGGAGCAGTATGAAATGGCTGAGGTGAAAAGTTTGCATTTCAAGCACCCCGCTCGTTTCGGCGGTAAATCACATGGCCGCCCGGACGTTTAAAGAAAAAAAACAAATCTTTCTTTCCACTAAATTTTAATGTCCACATTAACTTGGATAACAGGAAAAGAGCTAGAGCGAGAAATGAATAACAATGGAGATCAATTTCGTTGGAAGAAAAGCATGAAAATTATATAGCGGCGGTGAGAGTGTGCTGCACGTGCAAAGTTGTTTTTTTGCTAATTAGAAAAAAAAAGTGTGCTGCACGTACAAAGTTTTTTTTTGCTAATTAGAAAAAAAAGTGTGCTGCACGTGCAAAGTTTGTTTTTTGCTAATTAGGAAAAAAGTGTGCTGCACGTGCGAAGTTTGTTTTTTGCTTATTAGATCTGTTGTTATTGTCTTTTTACCGTTCTCGTTGTTTTCACCTTGTCTATAGCATTTTCTTTGAGAAAACTATAAATATTAAAGAGAGCTTCGCTTTTAGCCCTGGCTAAATCTATAATGTAAAATTCCGAAAATAAGCCCCTCCCTGTATAAGCCCCTCCAAATATAAGCCCCCCAAACCGGTAACGCAAAAAACCCCTTCATTAAATCGCCCCTCCAAATATTAGCCCCCCGGGGGCTTGTACTTGAAAAATTGCCCTCAAATACAAAGTAAAACAAAGCAAAAACGGTAAATTTACTTCCAACTATAAGGCTAGCCCAAACGATTTTGAAACGCAAATTTCCCTCCGTAAATAAGCCCCTCCGAATATAAGCCCTTCCAACAATAAGCTCCTCAAAAAGGGCCTTTGAAAAATATAAGCCCCGGGGCTTATTTTATGTGAATTTTACCGTTTATTATTTTTAAATATTTTATTTTATTTTATTTTATTTTAGGCGAGACGTCTGCCGGAAAAAGCCTTCTGATTAATCTTTTCCTGGGAGAGGAAATTCTTCCATCCGCACATACCCGAGCTACTTCCACCATATGCGAGATAAGGTATGGGGAGCAACGAAAAATTAAGGCCTATTTTAAAAGTAAGGATCCTGCAACAGGACAGCCAACCAAGGAAATATCCCTTGAGCCGCCTTCAGAAAGTTCTGAACAAAATTACGTTGAACAGATCTCTCCTTTTGTTAGCGAGAATGCGTCACTTTGTACGAGGATTGAACTCTTTTGGCCTCATCCACTTTTACAGGTGATTATATTTTCATTGTGTTTTATACCTGAAGTAAAAATTAATCCTTGAGTGTTGTATTTTTCTCTACAATTAAGTTTTTGTTCACTGGAAATAACTCTGCTTGGCTACCGTGCAGAAGTTCAAATGGAGAAAGTCTCAGACCATAGCTCCTCTGAGTTTAAACCCATATACCGTGTCAGTGACACAAACCTTTGTCTAAAATATCCATAGTATTGTTGTTGTGTCTAAAGGATAAAAAGCACTAAAATAGGTCTTGTTCATTCCTGGAGCATAACCTGTTGACCTATTGATTGTGCACAGACACTTCACTTGATTAACAATTTGGAAATTTCATCAGAATTGATGTACATCATAACTGGCTTATAACTCTAAACTAGCGGACCTAAAACCTTACGATGTTTCAATTTAAGAAAAATTGTCCCCTCAAAAAATTGGTTATTAGGTCCACCCGTAGGAATGAGCTTAAGCGGCTGGCTTCACTTGTTCAAACGTTCAAGCGAGGGAGTGTGCAAATGACCGTAATCTATTCTCCGGTGCCTGAAGTTCGGCAATCTACACATTATACTCTTTTTTATATGGCTTAATCCGCGAGCGGGCAAGATGAAGCGAATCCTGCGTTCTGATTGGCTACCAGAGCAGGCAAAATGGACCCATTTTGCTCGCTCGGGATTTCCCGCGTTGGTCACGTCAGAAAAAGTTCTATTTTTGGCCATGTAATAAACCCTTTATTGATCAAGCTTGTTTGGTCAAGGTGGCTGGATAATGGCCTCGTTGTTTTCTGCGTTTTGATGTCTCTGTCAATAAAAAAGCAAAAAAGAACTTGACCAATATCCAGCCATCCTGTCCGAACAAGCTTGGTCAATAACGCAAGCCATATATCTAAACAGCGCACGCCGGAGGACAATTTGTGGCAGAAGAAAAATACCTCTGCTCTTTTTAAACCGCTCAACGTCAGACCGACAACCACGTCTAATTAAACTTTATTTATAGCTCCGATAGTATATTGTAATTTAAATTTTCACATTAAGATGAGAAAAGAAAGTGTCCGCACTGAGCAGTCGGCCTTGATTCAAATGATTTGCGTCCCCGGTTTTCAGCTTCAAAACCTTTTCAGCGATTTCCCATCTCATATGATCTATCAAGTGATTCAGACTTTAAAATCTTCAACGTTTCACTTTTAATCGCTCTTTTTGCAGACGAGTAACATGAAGGGAAACTTTGCTCTATCATACTTCAGGTTGTCATGAGTGAATTGATAATTTTGGTAAAACACGGTAGTCAGTTATCGACTTTAGCGAGCATATATATGATAAAAAAATTGACCTCTTTGCTGGAACCAACAGCGCTCGCACATGCTCTGATTGTCTAATACAACACTTGCGCATGTTGTGATTGTCTCGCCTTGACCGAGTTGACCCGGCTGGGTGAGCCAGTGTTTGTATGGAGAAAAGTTGTCCCGTCTGGTAGGGTGACCCTACCATTGAAAAAGGGTGACGCAGGACACCCTTCTAGCCAAGCCAACGTATTGTTTCTTTAAAACGATTCGCCACATTTCCACATTTTGTAAGGAAATGTATGAAACGTTGGCTCGCCGAGGTTAGCTCGGGTAGGCGGATGACCATTTTCCCACGGACAACTTTTCTCCATTTAAAAGGGGCCTAATGGTAGTAAAAGTACAAGTAGTTTGGAGTATAAGTAGTGGTAGCACAACGCAGCAATGATAGTGGTAGTATCGCTTAAAACGTAAAAAAACTAAGTCTTATATGTCTTTAATTTTAGAAAGGCATAGTGATTGTTGACAGTCCTGGCGTTGGGGAATCTAAAGAGTTGGATGACGTGGTGTACCAGTATCTCCCTAAAGTCTTTGCTTTCATTTTTGTCCTTTCTGCCGCAAACTCTGATGGAATTCAAAAAGATACAGTAAGTATCCTAACCGCTTACATTATTTTTTGCCAACTTTACCTGATTTGATTACGTAAATCGACCCATTTCGTGTACCAGGCCTTTGCCAAAGCAAAAGAAGGAATTGCCTCAATATCAGGGAACTTCGAGTCACTTTTGTCTTTGCTGTTGTGTTGTTAAATGTTTAAATTTTTGTCTTGGATAAAACAGCAGGATATGGATGTCATTTTATAAAAAAACTTTCAATTGTCTCAAGGCTGTGCTATAAGTAGACTCAGTCTCCAGTCGTAGGTGTCTAGCTGCGCCCGCGGTACTACCCACAGGCGCACCGAGACACCCGCGGCTGGAGACTGAACCTAATTTATAAGATGGAGATTTTTAGAGAGGAGAAGTCATACGCCACGTTGCCATGATAGCAAAATTTCGGGATCTCAACAAGCTTCAACAAACCATAGTCCTGCAAATATGGCAGGAAGAAACGAAAAGTCTTCCCCTTTCTCTAATGTCGTACCATTTGCGAAGATTTTTCGAGACAACTAAGCGAGGAATAATTGTTTTCGGCTACTTCTGGTGAGTCTATCAGCCAATCAGATCTTTCAGATTGTTCTAAGAGTCAACCAGTCACTACGCGCATATTGTGACCGATCACTGGTAGTCTACTTGTCGTGACTAATCTTGAGACAACAAACTGTAGGCCTGCTTCTTTCCTTGATTGTTTTTCCTTTCTTGCCTTATCAGTCAGAGATAAAACTCTGATTGATAAGGCAAGGAAGGAAAAACATAAAACAAATATTCCTCGCTTGGTTGTGGCAACAATCTTCCCAAATGGTACGACATTAGAGAAAGGGAAGGATTTTGCCGTCTGAATTTTTATTTTGTGTTAAACGTGCCGATGCTTTGGAGTCCTGCAACTCCTGTTCGTGACAAAGTACCACTTAAATACTCTTTAAAGCCATCCGCCTATTCTACAAATCCAGTTAGAAGCGTTTTGTAAAGCACAAGGTTGAGCCAGCGTTGCAATGGTCAGCTTGGTGGTGAGCCGCAAGAAAGCGAGGCAAAATGTCGAGAATATAACCGGCATCTGAGTGAAATAGGTCAGCATACTGAGCATACTGAGCGAACAGTAATAATGCCTGAGTTCCTCGGTCTTCTTAAAAACAAGGACCTCGCGCTTGGTCATCATGCTTAAGAAGACTGAGGAGTGAGGGCATTATTCGATCTAACGGACCTTTTCCATTGTTTTAAAACCATTTACAACATAGCTAGAAAACTTCGCCTAATAAAATTCAATTTTCGAGCGTGCTTCATATTCCTATTGAGCACGCTGATGACGTCAATAAACTATTCGTAATTCCTCGAGTTGTTGTGAGCTTAGTAATCCTGAGTCTCCTTTAGTGCATCCATAACTCAGCAATAGACAATGAAGCGTTCACCACGTGTTTTATGAGGAAATTTAAGAGGAAACGTTTGAATTTGTTAACCGATAGTAAGGAAAAGAGGTGAGTGTTGTTGTTGTTGTTGTTGTCATCTCCGCGAGCTGTGCGGGCTATGGCGTGAGATCATTCTTTGCAAACTTGTTTTCTCTCAATAATAATTTTTCGATAAATCAATAGTTTTCCGGCACCTAAATATGGTTTTTACAATCATTTTAGAGTACACTTTCTCTCAGTTTCAGGATAAAAACATAAGATTAACTGTGAGGAAAAAAATATATAGTCACGTAAACATTGACGCGTACCTCTTTGAGCGCGCCCTACAATAATAAAATTTTAAGTTAACTGCTGCATTGATCCCTTTGATAATGTTATAAAACAATTAGTTCATGCTGCAGCTGTGCCTATGTCAAGATATTGCGCAGCTGGGAAGTTTGGAGAGCACGAAAGAGGCTAGAGTTGCACTCGGCTGCGTCTCGTGCAACTCTTACGCCTCTTTCGTGCTCTCCAAACTTCCCGCGTGCTCAATATCTCGACATACGAACGCTGACGCATGAACTAATTGTTAAATTTAGCACAAATATATCTTGCAAATTGGGCTCAAATTTTCAGACAAAATTGTTCTGCTGCAGCTAAAGCTTGATCAGAAATTGATGAGCGCATGCTATTGAGACAAAAACAGCTGCAACCAAAGATTTGCTTATTTTGTCACGAACAACAAACATTACACATTAGGTCACATGGGTTCATGACTACGCATTGATCATAACCATAAGAAATGTACGCAGATATCACTCGTAACTTGTCTTAACTAAAGGCAGAAAATTATTAGTTTTTGAGTGTCTTACTAAATAAAACTTACCTGTAATTTCGTTATAAATTATTTGTATGATTTTTTCCACTTTTCAGATCAGAAAATTATTTGAAATGGTAATGAACGTTTTCAGAGTTTTGAAACAAGAAGCCAGAGAAAATCTGGCCACTGCGCTCCCTATGGAAGAAGGAATGTGCGGAATGACGAATGTTTTGCAGGAATATCTGTTAACAAAGTGCGCCTTGTTTGTGTCTAACAAGTGGGACGAAGTTCCAAAGGGAGAATTTCAAAATGTCAAGGAAGTTTCCATCAGGAAATTGAAGGAGATCTGGCCCGGCTTTGATCCCAAATCACAGCTTATTTGCATGTCAGCAAAATATGCCAGAGTAGCTCAGCAGTACAATGTCGCAACAGAAGATTTTAACTCGTTGATGAATGGTATGGATGGCTTGATCACCAAATGCATTAACGCCAGACTAGAACTTAATTGGCGGTAAGGTTTAGTTTACTTAGGTATAGCCTGCGAATACAGCCGTTTCTCCTCGCTCTTCGCCGCTTGGGAAGTTTCGCGAGGAGGAGCGCAGACTTTCCTCCTCGTGAAACGTCCCACGGGGCGAGTAGCGAGGGGAAACGGCTGTTTTCGCAGGCTAACTTAGGTATATCAAGAAAGGATACTTATTCCTCTTTTAAGGTGGCTCATCCAGATACTAATTTCCTCTTTCTAACGATGACTCTACAAAGTATTATTTTTTGACCTCAAACGCACTAAAAAAATTCCAATGGGCAAATGCGACGGTTATACGCGTATGCTGCAAATGAATCCATCCTTCATGTACTTTCTTTTGTATATCCGCAAATTTCGTCCCATTTGATCATCGTTAGTTTTTCTTAAAGTGTATATGACAGAAATTTTTTTATTTGCTTGATAGAATCTATACAGTGTTTTGATAAGGAAAGCAAAAAAAATTTTTCGATAGCGATTTTTCTTCCCCGTGTTTTAACCTGCCAAAAACGTGAAATTTCACTTCCGGTGAGCTACAAAACCGCGCTAGCGAAAACAGAAGACTGGGAATGATTATGACGTCATTTCAGGACATTCTATTTCGCGGGAGGCAAATTACCTGGTCATTTTCTTATTCGTGTGGCAGTGTTTGGAGAATGTTTTTTGAGTTTCCCTGACCTTTTGAGATCAGAAACAGCAGAAATCAATAAAAAGTCGCTTAAGCTCGAATTTAATTGACTGTGAAAAAGAATAATGAGTTTTGAAAGCGGTACGGAACAGTCAGACGTGGAATCGATCGGGTCGCGCACTCACATCTGCGAGACAGAACTAGGATCAGACGAAGATGAAGAAGATATGTACTATTCAGGTCCAGAGGGACCGTATATAGATGAACCTATTGCAGACGAGGAATGGCTAAACAGAATACAACCGAGAACTAGAAGAAATTTAAAGGAGAAACCAGGAGTTACAAAACCGCTTTGACAGGATTGTCGAACCCGAGACTTGGTAAGTGTTCGCTCAATTTCTCACCTTTTATTAAATTATTAGCCTGAAAAATCTTATCGTACTAAGATCATACCTTGCCGATAAAAAGAAAAGGATAAAAGTTGTATTCTTCAACTTAAATACTACGTTCCTTCTTTTTAATTTCAAAGGTGCCCATGTGGCAATTGTGCTCTTGATCGGCCGCAAAATCCATAATCATGGCTATGTTCTAAGACAAATTGAAGGGAGCCCAGTGCCCTGAACCTGTGAAATCAAGGATGCCTAGCATAATATTATAATCTCTAAGATTTTCTTGTCGCCGTAGAGCAGAAGTTATGTGCTAGGGGTCACCATGTGCTGTTAGAACACAGCCCTATCTGAGGCTAGCTAAGCCTTCTGCCCCTCTCAAGTCACTTTTTTCTTTGGGAAAATCTTTTATTTTTTTGGACATCTAGGGATATATATTGTTATCAATATTACTGTTATAATCAAGAAAATGATAAATATAGCCATTAAAGCAACATATTACATCTCTTGTTGAAGAAATAGGAACTGGGATAGCCCAGACTTAATGCAATTTTGATTTCTTTTTTTTTTTTTTTTTTGGCTTTTGTTTTGTTTTTGTTTTGTTTTTTTCTTTTTAATAATCCAAACTCAAGCAGCATTTGTAAATTGCCTATACGTAGCGAGATTTACAATTATACATTCAAAAAAACAAATAAAGTTCCCATAATTTATTATTATTATTATTATTATTACTGTTATTGTTACATATTATTATCATTTTATCAGCAATCAAGGTGGACTAAAGATATTTTTCCTATTTTGCTTGCAGTATCTGTTGTTTTTGCCCAAGAGGCAGCTGCAGCTACAGCACAGTCATCAAGTGGAGGAAGAACAAGGAATTGCACTGTTTGCAAAAGACCCATGAGAGGGCACAACCTTGTAGTTGATTGTCCAAGGAACCAGGCACGACAAAACAGTGGACAGTGATAGCAGACCTTTTTATTTTTTATTTTGAGGCAAAGTCAATAAGTTGCCTGGTAATTGCTTAATACAAACTGGGAGAGATTTTCATCACCATTATTTCAAGTCACCCTCGCACTGTAGACCCAAGGGGGGGGAGTACTCGGGATTTCAAGTGACGGGGATGATCGAAGGATTTTTTTGGGTTTGAAATTTTTGATTCCAGGATTTTTTTGGGTACGAAAATTTGGCTTGGGTAGCTTGATTTGAGTAGGGATTTTTTGGGGGTATTAAAAACAATCGGTAGTGCCCTGGCTGCGTAGTTCTGCGAATAAAGTTCAACCAAACGTGTTTTGCTGTTGTTTAATAGTTAACTATGGTGTCGCTTTACATCGCACGTGTTATATAATAGTCTGCATTGTCCCATGTGCCCGGCATGGGATTTTTTGGGGGTTAATTTTTGGTCCAGGGACTTTTTTGGGTTTTGCTGGAAGCCCTAGGGATTTTTTTGGGTCTTGACTTTTGGCTCCATTCGATCATCCCCGTCACTTGAATTCCCGAGTACCCCCCCTGGGACTGGAGATAACTAAGATACAGATAGTTTCTGTGCAGTCAGCTGATGTTTTGAGTTAATATTAGTCCAAACTAGTATAAAATTTGTCAGTGGACTCTGTTTCGCTATTTGCATTTTAAAATAATGATGGTCATAAAGGCAATATCTTTATTCATTATCTTCAAAACCAACAAATTCTTCATTCTCTTCTGAAAGTTCTGTTCTTATTGCTGGCAGTGAAATCCGCTTTCCCCCAAGAAAACCATGTACTAGTTGCGTAAACTCTCCGTAGGCTACTCCACGAAGAAACCTGTGTAAAAGAATGAAGACATAAAAATAAATATTCAAGTCATGACCTCGCCCTGTATTTCAACTCTGTGAGCCCAGTATTACCACATGACCAGTGGCAGATGCATTTCTATTCCAATCGTGCCCTTCCTTTGTGTCTCTAAAATCCCCATTTCTTTTAACATCTTATGAACTGAACATTATCAAATCAACTGTGGAATATAGTTGAAAATAGGACCAGGGTTGAAGAGTAGAGCAGAGTAAGAAAAGATGAAAGTAGTCAGCAAAAGATGAGATCAAAATGCTTTGTGTGGGGTTTGGTGTGGCTGGCAACCCCCCCTTCCCCCCTTCCACATACACACACACACCCAAGCCCAGAGAAAAGTTTGATTTTAGGGGTTCTGCAAAGTACATTTTGCTTTGTTCTTTATCATATGTTTTTTGTAATATAGTGATTCTACTCAACCGATTAAACAGGTAGTAGAATGGAACACGCTATCATGCATTAATTCTATTGTCTTTCATGGGTCAGGTAAAATCTCTCTATTATACAAAATAATGGGCAACAAAAACAATCGATTGATCATCTTTCTCTTAAAATGGTGTTTGAACAAATAACCACTGCTTCTGTTGCAACTGTCGGGCGCTTTTGCCGGCTAACGTTGCTTTTGGAGAACACAGTACATTAGCAATTAGAGATAGCTCTGACAGAAAAAACTGGGCAAAACATTACTCACTTTTCTTCTGTATCAGTCTGACGATACTTTGTACCGTCTATCCTTTTGTATTTACTTGCGGCTGATCGGAGAGACCATCTGTTAAGGCAAACGACACTGAAACCTGGATGCAATGTAATACATTCGGGACTGATTTCCACCTCATTCAGAACGGCGGTACTACCAAGTGATTCGACACACTTTTCGATTTCCTTGCAGCAGAGGCATTCCCCGGGATTTTGCAGCCGATCAAGAGCACAATTGCCCCATGGGCACCTTTGAAATTAAAAAGAAGGAACGTAGTATTTAAGTTGGAGAATACAACTTTTATCCTTTTCTTTTTATCGGCAAGGTATGATCTTAGTACGATAAGGTTTTTCAGGCTAATAACTAAAAGGTGAGAAATTGAGCGAACACTTACCAAGTCTCGGTTCCACAATCCTGTCAAAGCGGTTTTGTAACTCCTGGTTTCTCCTTTAAATTTCTTCTAGTTCTCGGTTGTATTCTGTTTAGCCATTCCTCGTCTGTAAGAGGTTCATCTATATACGGTCCTTCTGGATCTGGATAGTACATATCTTCTTCATCTTCGTCTGATCCTAGCTCTGTCTCTCAGATGTGAGTGCGCGACTCGATCGATTCCACGTCTGACTGTTCCGTACCGCTTTCAAAACTCATTATTCTTTTTCACAGTCAATTAAATTCGAGCTTAAGCGACTTTTTATTGATTTCTGCTGTTTCTGATCAAAAAAGGTCAGGGAAACTCAAAAAACATTCTCCAAACACTGCCACACGAATAAGAAAATGACCAGGTAATTTGCCTGCCGCGAAACAGAATGTCCTGAAATGACGTCATAATCATTCCCAGTCTTCTGTTTTCGCTAGCGCGGTTTTGTAGCTCACCGGAAGTAAAATTTCACGTGTTTGGCAGGTTAAAACACGGGGAAGAAAAATCGCTATCGAAAAATTTTTTTTGCTTTCCTTATCAAAACACTGTATAGATTCTATCAAGCAAATAAAAAAATTTCTGTCATATACACTTTAAATGTTTATTGATCAAAATCAATTCTTATCAACTTTTTTTTATAACAGAAGAATCTTGATAACTTCTGTATTTCATTTTGTAGCGACAGTGGAGGAACGCGAAGAAGATATGACCCAAAGCTCTGGGGCGCTTTCCATCATGACCAAGCCGACTGAAACCAGTTGAACTAACCAAGAGAAAATGGAACGAGACTGTTCGATCAAAATATGAGTTCCAACTGGATCGAGGAGTCCCATTTCCATTTCCAACCAAAATTTTTACTACTTCTCAGCGAATACGAGTGGAAACGAGCATTTTTAGAAAGGAGCGGTGACTTTTTAGGTCGGACCGGACCGACTGGTGAAAGAGGAGGACTCTGAAGGTAGACCTTTTTCCTGAAAATTTCCTCCTTCCATTTATACTTCGACCGAAATCTGCGGAAATTTTGGCATATTGGAAAGCAAACCTGGCCTCAGTTGTCTGCAAACAAATTTCTAGATGCTACATTTGGTACATGAATCGACCTGTCAAAATAGGGCGCACCGGTTACTCCGTTTTTTTGCGCAGGAATACATTATCGCCGATGACGTCATAACCTTTTGTTTTTATCTCATGAATGAAATGCGCAAGAATCTCATTAAGATAAGGTCGTGTGCTATTTTTAGTCGGTCTAACCGGTTTTACAGGTTTTTAGTTGCTTTTAGGTCGGTAAATGTCTTGGTTTCGATTGGTCGATTAGAAAATATGAAACGTTGAACCTCATCCCCAAGGCGCTTTTCCCTGGCTTTTGAAACGTTTTCATTGGTTAATTCATGGTGTCTGAGGAGTAAACTCAAACTTGCTTGTGACTTAAAATCACTGAGCCGTAACGTGATTATGCAAGTTCTACTCCCTGCTGCTGTGATTGTCCTAGTTCCGGTTCAATTATCTTGGCGCGCAAATCGTGCATATTTACTTTAGAACGCTTAGGCTTTTTAGCGCTTAGGGAGTGGACATGGTTACAGCTACCATAATTTGCGGCACTGGATGTTTGTACTATTTGTTTCAGGAAACAACTCATGTACTACGTAATAAAAATCATCGCGTAACCTCTTGCCTGTTATATTTCTCGGAATCAATTTCGTAGGACCGAATGAACTTTCGGCAAGAGAAATTCAAAAAATTAAAAAGGAAAATGTTTTAGGTGAAAGCAGTATATATTGCATTATTTGCACGGTGATGGCATATCAGTTGGTAATGCAGGAGCGAACAAACGTTTTAGTCGTACAGCTTTTCAAGGACTGGAAAATTGAAAAAAAAACGGTTAGGGTGTCAATTTATACTTTTAGTGTTCACAATTTATAACGGCTTACCTGTTACGATGACTTTGAACTGAACTTTGCGAAACTATTTTCGGTCTTCTTGCTTGTGATTTGCAGTATAAATTTCATTGCAAAGGGTGTCTAACAGAATTTGCCATGTTGTCTAGTTTAACTTATCAGTCTATGCAGCGAATGGGCTGGGTACGCAAATCCCCACTTTTAAGCACATGTCAGTGATCATAGAGTATTTTTAGCAAAAAATGTCCGTGCACGACTGGACGATCTTTTGCTTTTCTGTGCTTACGGTTGGGTGTTTATGAGCCAAGTGAAAAATTAAGGAAAATTTTCACGTACAAATGATGTCGATTTTATTTTTCTATTCTTGAATTCAACTAAGACAACTAAGCGTTGTTTGTACGTATACGCACCGGATACTAAGCTTAAATGGGAAAAAAAGAAAGTGTTCCAGGTATTAGTAACAAAAAGGCGGCTGAATGTTAAAATCGCCTCTGAATAACTTGCTTCTTTTCCTTTGTTTAGATGGCTTAATGACGTACTTTCCGTGATGATTGCTGAAGCAAAGACTGTTCTCAAAACTTTTTCCTCGAAACTTGAAAACGTCACAGAGGAAATAAGACAGCTCAATGACGCCTTGGAGTATATTAAAAGCCATAAAGATGAAATAATGAAAGGACTCTATAAACATTTCGAGAACTTTGAGCTTGAAGCTTTGAATCGAGCGTGCGAATATCTCTCTTCTGAAGACGTTAAACTCCGTTTCACCTCGTGGACTGAAGAGGAGGTTGCACAGGAAGGCAGCGACTGGGAGGAGACAAAACGAAACATCGAAAGGGCATTCCAAAGCCGTTTACAGGAAACATTACAGTCTTGGTTCGAAGAGGGCATGTTGCTGCCAACAGCTGAAGATTTTGTTCATGAAGAGCTGAAGAAGTACTTCAGTCAACCTGAAGACCACTTAAAGTGTCTTCCAGATGTCCCGGATGATAATGAGGGTGAGAAGAGAAACAGTCCTTGTTACCGCCACTTCAAGAAGGCCAAAGGCGGCAGCCATGAAGAACTCATTATTGGCGGTATTTTCGCATTCTTTACTGTAATTGCCTGGCTCATCCCTATTCCTTCACTTGCCATTCGACTGGTTCTTCCTGTTCATCCTGCGTTTAGCCTTTTGTTAAACGTTATTGAAAGATTCATGGCACGATGGGAGAAAAGAAAATTTCAAAAAGGAAAGAAAGCGTCTATGTCAGCTCATTCCGAGAACTTTCTCACCGCTGTTAAAGATAGAAATGTGCTTCAAAACTTCGTAAAATTGCAATTGAGACCTGTAAAGCAATACCTTGTCAAGGTTGGCGCTTATTTCTCCACGTTAATCCCTGTGAAAAAGAATCAACTTCTACAGGTTAAAAATAAGGAGCGCTCTTTGGAAGAGGTAAAAAATGTTTATTGGAAGATATATAAAGACGGGCGTCGCCTTAGAGGCCTTTATGCAGTGTTAGGTGTAAGAGAAATATTCCCCTTGCGAATAAGTTGGAAAGGAGACATTTCTTTCCTCATTGACAGCGGCACATTTGGTGGTGTTTACCAAGAAAAGATGACAATAGAGGAGGGAAGCAAAACTGTGGAATTGAAGGTGTGCAAAAAAGAGCTCAATGCTGAAAACGCAAGCGAAATCTTGGACGATATTGAACTTTTGAGGTAAGAGAACAAGAGTCTGAATTTCCTTCAAACTGGTCAATGCAAAATAAGGGCTTTTTGACGTTTCACTCTTTGTTGGAAATACCGTTTTGAAGTCATTTAATCCAAAAAAGCCACCCCCCTCTCCCTTTACGGTGATACCCCCTCTTATCTTGGGACGTAAGGGTTATCAGCTGGGAAGCGAGCTGGACAGTTTTCAGAATACGAGGGACAAGGGTCGGAAACTACGATTTTCTTTTTCTCCTTCCATTGTTTTGCTCTTTGGGGTAAATGCCTCACTCTTCCGACTTGGCTCTTTCCTTTTCCTTGTAAATTATAAATGAGTTTAAGAGTCTAAATAAGCTCCGCCCGCTCTACTGAGAGCTCTCCCTCTGTATTGAAATTTCTACGGTAGGTCTAAGTATCATGCGGCCAGTCCAGGACATTACAGTGATAGGTGCTAAAAAAAGTTGGATTTCCTTGAAATACTACTTACAATAAAGCGACGTAATACAGTTAGATAACGGTAAGAAACTTGCTGAAAAAATTAAAATGCTATGAATTAAAAATGATGGTAAAATCAATTAACGTAACAGTCTGTTTGGAATTTTGAAGCCATAAAATTTTTAAAACAAAACCCTTACTGAGAAGAAAGTTTATCTTTCGTTTGAATAGGAAGTTAAACGACCACCGTCACATTTTGCAGTTTTATGGCATATCACTTCGCCAAAATTATGTAGTCTTGGGCTTCGAAAAATGCATAGGAAGCCTGGCGGACTATATCGTTAAAGACGAGAACAAGACGTTAGTCCCTACCAGATCCAAAAAACAGTTTGTCCGATTAAAGTTCCAGTGGGCAAGAGAGATCACCGATGGTTTGGCTTTCATTCATGCTCTGAAAGTTGTGCACAGGGACCTCAAGCCTGAAAACATTTTGGTATGAACTATACTTTTATGTTATTATATTATTATTATTATTATTATTATTATTATTATTATTAATATTAATATTATAATATAATCAAGAAAATGATAAATATAGCTATTAGAGCAACATATTACATCTTTTGTTGTAGAAATAGGAACTGGGATAGCCCAGACTTAATGCCATTTTGATTCCTTTTTTTTTTTCTTTGGCTTTTGTTTTGTTTTTTGTTTTTTTTTCTTTTTAATAATCCAATCTCAAGCAGCATTTGTAAATTGCCTATACGTAGCGAGATTTACAATTGTATATTCAAGAACACAAATAAAGTTTCCATTATTATTATTATTATTATTATTATTATTATTATATTTAGTCTTTGTAAGGACATTGCTCGGTAACTGATCCAGAAAAATAGGACCCCTTGATTGTTCTAAGATCTGTTTTTTGTTTTGTTTTGTTTTTGTTTTTTTTTGGTGGTGTTGGGGGGAGCGGTTAACACATGTCAGTTCTGTTTTCGGATTACTACTTTGATCCACACAGCGCCTGTCCCCGTGTATAATGATACGTGAGTGGTCCCTGAAGAAGAATGAAATAATCACATTTTATACGGAGATAAGATTAAGATTAGACTATTATTGGGGCCGACGATTTTATCTTTGAGGTGAGGCATTGGGTGATTTCAATTATATTTATATACAATATCCTGCAAACAGACCTGGAGCTAGAAAAAAAACATTGAGATACTAGTGTTATATTTACACTATAAAACGGAAAAAATCTATCACAGTAGCTGGTTTGGAAAACTTTCTTGTTTAAACTTAAATCCTTCCTCTTCTCACTGGCTATATACCACTTAATCTTGTGCCATGCAAATTTTAATTAATGTTACAATTACGATAATCATTATTATTATTGAATTACAAATAAATGTACTCATTTGTATTAAAGCTATCTGAAGAAAACTTTACTAAGATTGCTGGATTAGCTAAGCCGGTAGAAGTGATTACAGGCACTGTCGCTGGGACGAATTTTTATATGGCACCCGAAGTGTTTGATTCCGAGAAATATGACGAGAAAGCAGACATCTACAGCCTGGGAATAGTCTTGTGGGAGATGTGGTACGGACAGCGAGCCTATCAATGGCCTGGTACGGTTGAAGAATTTTTTGTTTGGTTGAAAGATGGTAATCGCCCAGTGCACGAGAGTAGCTCCGACAAGCCTCCGTGGAAGAACTTAATGATGCAGTGCTGGGACGGCAACCCCGAGACACGCCCTACAGCTCTGGCGTGCAAGGACGAAATAAAAAGAGTGTGCATCCAAAAGAAAGTTGTCTAAATTAGAATTTGACTCTGAATGAATAATATACACTTAATGTCAGATCCCGAGGGAAACAGTTAGTTTTGTTTTTTTAAGAGTCCTGATGTTTCCCGAGACGAAGTCGAGGGAAACATCAGGACTCGAGGGAAAACAAAACTAACTGATTTCCCGAGGGACCTGACATTAAGTGTTTTGTTATATTTCTAGACTTTCACTCCAACGTACTTCAACAGCAACAAGAGGAGCGAATCAAAACAGTACGACTCGGTACTTATAAGAACACAAATTTAATTCTCAAAACCACTGAATGAATGGTTTAAAAAGTACTTTCCTTATATTATCTGCATCTTTTTCCTCCACTAGCTGCTGTTTCTCTTCTGGGAACTTGGAAAATCGTTGCTTTTTACCTTGAGGCTTCATGTTTGTGTTATTGTGAATGTTGTTGTGTTCATTCACGAAAAAGAAAACTGGCAGTGTTTTTCCCGCCTTCTGTCACGCCACTTTCCACCATGCTTTGATCACGTGCTGTAATGTATCCCGAGCGGGGTACATTGCTTGATGTATCACGATCGGGATACATTTGATTTTAGTCAAGGCCACGTGACCAAGAATCAGCCAATGGCTGTATGGCTGTCCCTGTTCAGTTGAGTGAAAGTCTAGGAATATAACAATGATCTATGTCACATGTCGGCTCTTGTAGGCTGCACTTGAAAACATAAGGAGTTCGTCTGCAGATTAAACATAATTAGAAATTTATAGTTGAATAATTCAAGTTTATAAGTGGAATGCAATAATCTTTGACGTAGCTTTGAAAAACAAAACTTGTAATCCTAATGGGAAAATAGACTAGTTTTGTATAGCACTAATAACGGATGATGTGTATCAAGACAATCGTTTTCATGTGCGAAATATAACGATTACATTTCATCTTTGTCTAAGATAAACGATGATATTAATTATAATAAGAAACAGACAAATAATGCTTGTTTTCAACATATTTTGAATTACCAAAAGAAAATTGGCCATTTTTGGTGAACTGGAAAATCGGCTCTTCGATGCATTTAAGAATTTTAAAAGCTCTGAGTACATCAGTAATACAAACATAAAACAAACACATCGCTTTGGTTTGGATTGGGCTTTCGTATGATCTAAGAATTACCTGGAACTCTGAGGGTGTTATCCACCGAGGCCTTTACACCCTTCGAAATCTGCAAATTCTTTGGATCAATAGTAATCCAGAACCTGGTTTGTAGGGAACAGCTAAGATCCTACAAGAAGGACCCTAGATACCTAAGGCTATAGGAGATAGCTTGATGCTTTGGGTAATAAGCCCCTCCTATAGTTGTGACACATGCAGATAATAACAATCATCATCATCATCAATTAAAAAACGCAATATGCAGTTTAAGTTTTAGTCGAACCTTCCGTGTACTTGCTTTCATTTACTTCTTTTTGTTGAAATCTCAGCATGCATAGCATTGCACCTGCTCAGTGTGACTTGGGTCAGCAGGATCCGTTTGCACAGGTCTTCCAACATTGTTGGGGCCACTCACGCGCATTACAGATGGTCTCATCATTCACAAGTGCCAAAATGTTATCGCTCGAATTCTTTTAATTTATTAAAACTATGGATCAATTTGCACATCACTGCCAATACCATCCCACAACTCCCAACATTTTCGGGCCAATAATGTTGGGAGTTGTTGCGTCCGTTTGCACGTAGCTAAAGCGTTTGCGGTTACAGATTTCTACCTCACTCCTTTTGATAATTAATACTTTGGTTTTGGTCCTTGTGCTTGCTTTAACCCTGGCTCCAGAGGTCCGTTCTCCAAATCCCTAGGATTCCGCTAGGGTGTGATAAACCGTAATCACGGTCTCTTGCTTCGAAATATTAACACTGAAGTTAGAGCAAGCGCTTGCCCCGAGAGGTGCGGTTCCTGTGCACATGTACGCATAATTTATGAAAAGACAAAAGGGCAATTTCCCTTGAGAACAGAACATACAAGATAAAAAGAGATCTATTCAGTTGGATTAGATGGATCAATAAACATAAGCCTTGCCATCAGTAAGGAATACTAAGCACCAGCTCTTCCCCGGTATAAAAATCATGGCGGACAGTGGGAAAGGTTAGATCAGATTCGGATATCTGAAGCTTTCCGAGAAGAAATCAGAGTTTCAGGAAAAATGAAATGTCAAGCGATTCAACGGTAACCATGTCAGGGGTCAACAAAATTGTCCTCCTTGAACGATACTGTACTTTCTTCGACTGCTTCGATTCCACAGCGATAGCGGCAAGCTAGGCCAACCTCAGCGTCACTTCATGGCGGTCGATAGTCTCAAAACCTCTTCATCCCGGAAAAGTGCAGGTAACGTTTTATTTATAAAACGATGGAAACCTTTGACCGATTTGAGGTCCGGGTCAAGCAGTAATCTTCACACGCAACGAGTCTAATACTAAATAAGTGAGCGAGAACAATAGATTTTGCATACGTTCGTCACACAATGTGAGATTCAACGTTTGAGCCCCGCCTAAACAAGTCATACATCTTCTATTTATACCTGAATTAATTTATATGCTAGAAATCTCAGCCAGCTCTAGTAAGGTATCGATCTTGTAATTATATATAGCATGAAAAATCTCCCAAAGCGCTCTCCAGCTGCCCCGATAGCAAACGGTGCAAATAGACCTTTCACTTACTTTAACCCTAGCTCCCGAGGTTTGTTCTCGAAATTTCCAAGGATGTCAAACCACCGTGTTCACGGTCTCTCACTTAGAACTATTAACAATAAAGTAAGGAAGAAAGTAATCAGGGACCCAGCGAGGGTAGAGCTAGCGCTTTCCCTGAATGGTGCCGTTATTGCCGTGCATATTTATAGAAAAGACAAAGGGCAATTAACATACTAACATACGAATTAACATAAGAGCTAAAGACAAACGCTTTGGCATAAGAGAACTACTCCTCGGTAAAAACAAAGATCATGGCGGATATAGTGGGACAGTTTGGGTCAGATTCGGAAGTATGGAGCTTCCTAAAAAGAAATTATGGAATTTTGACTATCAGGGTTCCAGTAAAAATGATTTATCAAGCGATTTAAAGGTACCAATGTTAAGGGTCAACAAAATTGTCTTCCATGAACGATGTTTAGGAACTGTGCTTCCCTGGTTCGCATAGCGATAGCGGCAAGTTTCTCCATCAGGGCGGTCTATAAACCTCAGTCTTCTTTCCGGAAAATTACACGACTGAAACCTTTGACCGATTTGAGGCCTGAGTCAAACAGCGATCTTGACATGCAACGAATCTAATGCTAAACTAGAAATATGTGAATCGCAGGACCTGGCGAAGGACTTCTGGGAAATGGCAATCAGTTGAAAAGCAAATACAGTCTCTAGGGCAATAGGGAAAAAGTTTTTTAATTTAAAAAACTTCAGCTGTAAAAAAAAAAAAAGCAAAACAGAACTGCAATAACTAAAAAAAAACTAAAGGAAAAGAAAAAGAAAAAAAAATGAAGAGAAGAGAAAAAGAAAAGTAGATTCTGCCCGATTCGATCTCAGGACCTTCTGCACGAAGGGCCATATCGTTACCACTAGCTCAGCTCGACCTGTATAAAGTTGATCGAGCCCTATTAAACATGAATTCAAAGATTTTTTCAGAAGAATGACTGCTGTTTTGACGGTGACAACCCAACTTCAGCGCATTTCATCGCATTTAAAGAAAGGATGCCCAACTAGGCCGATACGGTATAAACTCGTCCGTGAGCAAAACGTGTTTTGTTAAGTCGATTTTTGCTCATATCTTAAGGCTAATTATCGCAAATCGGTTCCATTTGCTCTTAAAAGTACTTCTCCATTCGAAATTTATTGCAAAAAGCACATACCGACTCCTAAAACGGCCGCTAAGAAAACAAATGGATAGAAATACGACCAAGAGCAAGACACTCTTCGGTGTTGCCTAGAAACACAAAATGCTCCCTGACGTCACACAGTAGATGACGTCAGGCTGGACAACATCTCGATATACACAAGCATACCAGCCTAGTCCCTAGTCGTTCTCGGCTAGGTCAATCCGGGACACTACCGTGAACTGTGACGTCACCGAGAGAGACTCGCCGTTCTCTCGCCCGCTCTTTCCCAGACTTCGCGCGGACAACGTGTCAAGAGAGAACGCCTAGGGACTAAGCTGCAAGTATACAAGTATAGATTGGCCAGCCGACTTTGCAGGTAGCTAACACCACGCGCGGTACACTCGCTTCGCGCTAGGAATAAATGAGCAAGAACAATAGATTTTGCATATTTGTTAGCCGCATTTGGTTTCCATTTTTTAGCCTTGCCTAAAAATGTTACGTATCCCCTGTATATACCTGAATTAATTTTAGTGGCCAGGGATCTTAGCCAGCTCTAGTAAGATATCAGAGATATCGATCTTTAAATTACTGATTAATATTAAATAACACTCGTCACAAGTTAGCGCTTTCCAGCTGCTCTGGGCAATATAGTTTTACGTTCCACGCGTTATTAGTTTTCTACGCTATCAGGTGATTTTTAATAACTACCTCTACTTCTACTTTAATAACTGATAAAGCAGAATTCTGCATCACATCAGTTTACTAAATTAATAACATTGTCAAATATAAAATTCATAACTGAATAACATCATTATAACTTAAAAAGTTAAAAAATTCCTAAATTTAAAAATCACAAATTAAAACCACTCTCCTTGCTTAATAAGATCATACTCACGGACTGCGGCCTTAAAAATGTCATCATCATCAATGTTTACTAAGTTACTGGGTAACTATTTTAGTGAATTAGGAGTTATTCGTGACAGGTTGACAACCCTTAGGAATATCTGGACGACGCATTGATGAAAATATAATAATGTTTGAGGAACTGACGGTGAGCCTAATATTCAAGGGACTCGCTATGGAAACACAAGAAATACTTGAAAAGTAGAATTCTGAGTAGAATTAAATCTGTTTCCCCTATTTTGACCTGTTATCTACGATTGTTACCAATGTCA